AAAATCACTTCTTGTTCGTAAGGTTGTTTATAATCTCAATTACGAACCCCATTTCGATCGTCGCCGATTTCTATATTGCTGCAGTCTTCTGAGTTTTGTTTGATCAAGGAATATTAAATTTTCGGCAAAAGAAAAATATCTCGTCCATGAGATGTCATCTGCAGCATATACTTGGGCAGCCGTCTCACCCATTCAAACCACGTGACCACATGGCTAAAGGGGCTACTCACTAGCTCTCAACGTCTTCAAAGCGTCCCAGTCCCAGGATGAGTTGGTTTGTTCTCCTTTTGATATCTGCAGTGGATTTAGCCGCAGTCTTTTTCAATGTCCGACTGCTAAGAATCTGCTTCAAAGACAAATCGAAGTACGAGTTTCTTGAAAAGTGCAGGTTACTGGCCATTTGTCAAGGCGCTAGCCAAGTCATAATTCTTGTTGCGGATTCTGTAGAATGGTGGAATGGACTCACTATTCTCCCTGGTGAAACATGCAGCTTCTTCAGAGTCCTGTGTCTTTCTGTGGTGTTCTACCAGACTTGTAATTTGACGGCGATGATGACTGTTTACTATGAACATCTTGAGGGAAATCAAAAGCAACTGCCATTTACGAAAGTCCGAATATTTGCCGCACTTTGTCTTGGATTCGTCGGCTCAGCAATGATCTTGTGGCACAACTTTTTCTCATATGCGCTGATTTCTGAAGTAATCTTCAAACTTGCCTTCTTTGTGACTGTATCACTCGTCCTCTTTCTCTTTGCTGTGACTCCTACCAAAGCATCCAAAAACCTCGAAATCGATTCAACAGAATCACAGTCAGCGACTAACAATTGTTTGTCACCGTGGAAAGTATGGAAGGAGAACAAGATGCCCATATTTTTCACAATGTTATTTCTAGCTTGTCTGATATTAATTCTCAGCGGGGTGCAGTCTGAATCACTGCTGTATGAAGATTTGGAAGAAGTCGCAATTTTCAAGGAGGTTATGTTTTCAGCGATTACCAAATTTGCTGTCGGAATCGTTTTACCGGTGACTTTGCATGATTTGATAAATTCGAGCTATGTGGGCAACAAATTTAAAACTGTAACTGCATCTGTTTTATAACAGGAATGTAAGCTATTAGCGAAAAAAAAGCAAGTACATAAAACAAGGCCACTTTTAAGGAATGTATGTCTTGCAACTCGTTTGGCTCGGCAATGGACCAAAGAACAAGAATATGTGCGTAGGAGAACGGATCCGAGCCACCTTTGAAGGTTGGTTCAAAGTGGGCCTATATTCTATAGTTAGCCGCGAAAAAGTAGCTCATAAAATGGAAATTATAATTTTTTTTCTTTCATTCAATTGGACCGTAAAATTGACAGTCAAAGGAATTTGCTATTTACGGTTTCCTCTGCAGATCGATCCACCAGAGAGAAGCGTAAAGTGATGAATGTTCTAGATTTATCCATTGTTTGATCCTAAACTAAGTCATTTACTTTGAAATATACTGAAAAATATTGTATAGGAACTCGTACCTACAATCAACTTGAAATTTATTAATCATGGACATCATTGAGCAGCAACTTTTCAGAAGTTTTACACACCGCTTGTGTCCTTTAGCTTTATTTTCATCCCTTTATTTAAGATAGATTATTTTATGAATAGATTTGAATAAATCAATATTTGTTATGTAAATACACAATTCAGTTTTCGAACTGATATATGTATTTATAAAGACCACAGAATTTCAAGCAGAGAAAGCAGACAGGGCTATGGCCATTTTACACTCCAGTCGTCCCAACGCATGACACCAACCTTTAGCGCTATTCCCAAATTTAAGCCTAATTTTCTTTTTCCAAAAACAAATGAATTAATAGTAATATTTTATAGAGTTTAAACAAAAGCCCTATTCCCCGACGTATTTTACACGTGATAGGCTAAAGTTCACACCTGCCATGATGGCGTGATCCTCGTCTCATCTCCAAATTAAAGGAAAGTTTAGGTTGGCTGATGACGAAAGAAAAAATTGGTAAAAACAATTTCCTACAGAAATCCGCAACCAGTTAGATGAATGTGGGGGAAATCAGTATAAATTTTAAAAGAACTCATAGTTCATGATACTTCTCGAAATGCGATTTACAGTTTGTAGTGGCTTGATCGATATTGCTTTGTAAATAGCCCAAAACGTTTCCACTAAACAAATTGTAAAATGCGAGCATTTGGCAAGTATTTGAATTGATAGCCAAATTGGTTTCCTTCTATCCTTCCATGAAATATTATAATCTTGGAGGCGCGAGACAAGTGGTAACTATGCGTATTGTTTTTAAAACCACTCAAGGGAAATAAGAATACTCTGCATTATTAAGGTTGGCTGATGATGAAAAAAAGATTGGTTAAAACAATTTCCTACAGAAGTCCGACACCAGTTAGATGAATGTGGGGGAAATCAGTGTAAATTTTAAAAGGACTCATGATTCATGATAGATTAAACTTTGGCAGGTTAACACCACTACCTCTAAAGTTATAAGTTGAATCCTTCTGCTTTTGTCTCTTTGTTATTTTTGCCATTTTTGACTGCTTTACTTATATGAATTATGCTTAACCCATGTTGTTTGTTTCCTAAGGAGGCACAGAGTCCACACGTACAAGATTCAACTTCTTTATTGCGTGTTCGTGTTCTCAAACTACAAGAGGCTTGTCGATCTTGTTCTGTTTAGGTGTCGATTCCGTGACTATAATTTGTTTACATCACTCGCTTTCAAATGGATTGAATGTACCTAGTAAACCTAGAAATGGATAACTCGCTAAAATGGGTTCTTTTCATTACAGTAAGAGGTCAGATAGCAAGTGATGCACCGTGGAAGTAAGGTGAGGTATTTTTATTGGGAGTTTGACTATTTTTTATTTCTATGAGCGGTCGTAAATATTCTCATATAAACTGTTATGATTTCGCCATGACCCTTATTTCGCATGATAATCATCTTACAGCTGGAGCTTGGGCCGCCTATGGAGTAACCAAGAGTTACTTGAAGCGTTGCCTGACACGTCTTTTGTTATATATACACCCCCAGCCCCTCACGCTTATTGTAAGATTGCATCTGGACTTTCGAGCTGAATTCGAGACGGACTACTAACGTCTACAACGTGAACACAAAACTCAAGAATGAGTTGGTTTGTTCTCCTTTTGATATCTGGAATAGATTTAGCCGGAGTCTTTTTCAATGTCCGACTGTTAAGAATCTGCCTCAAAGACAAATCGAAGTACAATTTTCTTAACAGGTGCAGAGTACTGGTCCTTTGTCAAGGCGCTTGCCAAGTCATTATTGTTGTTGCAGATTCTGTAGAATGCTGGAATGGCTTCACCATTCTCCCTGGTGAAACATGCAGTTTCTTCAGAGTCTTGTGTCTTTCTGTGATTTTCTACCAGACTTGTAATTTGACGGCGATGATGACTATTTATTTGGAACATCCCGAGGGAAATAAAAAGCAATTGCCTTATCCGAAAGTCCGAATATTTGCCGCGCTTTGTGTTGGATTCGTCGGCTCCGCAATGATCTTGTGGCACAACTGTTTCTCTCATTCGCTGATTTCTAAGGTGGTGTTCGGGGTTGCCTTCTTTGTGACTGTATCACTCGTCGTGTTTCTCCTTGCAGTGACTCTTACCAAAAACCTCGAAACCGATTCAACAGAGTCACAGTCAGCGACTGACACTTCTTTATCAGTATGGAGATTTTGGAAGGAGAACATGATGCCCATGGTATTCTCAGCGCTATTACTAGTTTGTCTGGTGTTAATCCTCAGCGGCGTGCCCCACTCTGAATCACTTCTGTATAAAGATTTGGAAGAAGTCGCAATTTTCAAGGAGGTTATGTTTTCAGTGATCACCAAATTTGCAGTCGGAATCGTTATACCGTTGATTTTGCATGATTTGATAAATTCGAGCTAGGTGGGCAACAAACTTTACACTGAACTGCATCTGTTTTATAACAGGAATATAAATTATTGGCGGAAAAGAAGCAAATGCACAAAACAAGGCCACTTTTGAAGGAATATATGTCTTGTGACTCGTTTGGCTCAGCAATGGACGAAAGAACAAGAATATGTGCGTAGCAGAACGGATGCGAGCCGGTTTGTTTGAAGGTTGATTAAAAGTGGCCCTGTTTTCTGTAGTTTAGCTGCGAAAAGGTAGCTCACAAAATGCAAATTAGTATTTTTTTTGTTCAATTGGACGGCAAAATTGACAGTCAAAGGACTTTGCCGTTCACGGTTTCCTCTGCAGATCGATCCACCAAAAATAAGCGTAAAGTGATGAACGTTCTTGATGTATCTATTGTTTGATCCTAAAGTAAATTATTTACCTTGAAATAAACTCAAAAAATATTTTACAGTAACCCGTCCCTATGACTAACTTGAAACCTAGTTATTAATCATGGACATCATTGAGCATTGAGTTGTGTTTTGCTATTTTGACTGCCTCATTTATTCGGATTATGCTTGACCCTTGTTGCTTGTTTCCTAACAAGGCAGAGACTCAACTTCTGTATTGCCTGCTCGTGTTCTCAAATTTACAAGAAGCTTATCGACCTCGTTATGTTTAGGTCTCGGTTCCGTGGCTATAATTTGTTTACATTACTCGATTTTAAATGAATTGAATCTTTGTCCTCTGATTCTACGTTCTAATGTGAAATGAGAAGAGTTTTTGCCGAGTTGAGTGAAATCGTCTTTCAATGCGTGGGAAGCAAAGAATCTGATTGGTGGTCAGAAATACGTTGTTGTCATGACAATTTTAAAGCATGTTACCTAAAGATCGCTGCAGTCACGCAATTTGCGGTCATTCCGCATTAACATTAAATTTGTACTTGTTTTTTAATCCCAAACCCTCGGCTATAAGCCGAACCCCGTTTCTTGTGAAAAAATCTCCCAAACTTTTGTGTCAAATACTGAAAAATCGCTCGGCTTATAGGTGAAGAAATACGGTAGATATCTGATTGAAAACCTTCATCGATCGCGATGTTCGCCCATACGTTGTAACTTTGGATTTTTGGGCATGTGACCTTCTCAAGACGAGCTCTTAAGAATCTGATAGAGTTTTTCCTTAGAAGTGTCAGGGATCTCTTGCCTTTATTTCATCGAGGCTTCGCTTCCAGCGCAGAATCGATTTCCTCCACCTCTGCGTCATACCCAGGGATTAAAAGCTTCGGATGCTTCGGAGTCGTATATTCTCTGTCCGAGTTTGAGTCTCTAGATGATATGGCTCTCAGTAGATACTTTACGCGGTCCTTCATTGCAGCCTTGTAGCGTGGTCCCCGGGATGACGTAACAACCTTCCCCGGTCCAGGTTCCAAGATGCGTAGTCGCGAGGAGGAAAAAAATAAGAGAGAAAAGCCCTTTTCTTATGTACGTGGAAAACCTCGAAGTGAACAACTCGCTAAAATGGGTTCTTTTCATCAAAGTAAGCGGTCAGATAACAAGCGATACGCTGTGGAAGTAAGGTGAGGTATTTTTATTGAGAATTTGACGCATTTTTTAATTCGTTAAAGCGGTCGCAAATATTCCCATACAAACTCTAATAATTCCGCCATGACTGTTATTGCGCAAGATGATCATCTTCCAGCTGGAGCTTGGGCCGCCTGTTTTTGAATCAGCGAGGGGGGTTCTAAGAATTCCGCAACAAAATTAATTTTATTTAAAAAAAAAATTATTTGGGGCGAGGGGCACTTTAGGGATGACTATGAATAAAACCGTCCTCCCTTATCATGTAATACAAACCAAGCAACAAGGAAAAAATTTCTTACATTGATAACGCCTAATATTTAACTGCAATCGAGAATAACTTGAAGATATCTAAACAGAGAACTGCGCTGAGTGCGACTTCAGGTAAACTGGCCTACAAAAGTGATTATGCGTAAAAGAAACTGGCTTTGGATACAAGAGGAGTGGGCAATAACATGCGGTATGAGGAACGTGCAAAAAAGGTGTAACTGACGAAGAAAACTTTTAACAAAGTTAACAAAACACACTAACGAGGAAAATGAAAAAATAAAGGACAAAATAAACAGAGGCAAATGACCCGAAGAAATGATATTGGTACTGGGTCAAAAGGTCAGTGCTTAAGAGAACAGATATTTGTTCTTAAATACTCTTTTCGCTCTTTAATAAATCCTGTACTGACCAAGCCTGTTCGCTCATGATGGCTGGATATTAGCCTCGCTCTTTCTCTCGGTTTTCTCTATGGAACTCAAATTCGTCTCAGTCCATAAAAACGCAAAAAAAGGAACTCGGCCCGTGTCCAGCCATCTTGACCTTACGCTTGGTTAATAATGCATTAGAATTAGTCCGGTTTAGACCGCGTTTTGATTGGTTCTAGACACAAAGATGACGTTGATCATCATTACAAATATCGTGCTCTAGGAAACAAACAGATTTCATTTTGCCGTTCGTCCGTCTGTTCAGTAATAGATCGTAAAAGACACCAAAATGTGATAAGAATATCAGTGATATGGCTGCGTCGTTTGTGCCACTCCTTTTATGATCCTTCCATATTTTGACGTCATCATTGCTGAACAGAAGCAAGTAATCTTGTAATCTATTTGCTCATTTTCGAAGGAAATCAGCACAGGACCGGCTAAGATAAGCCCATCATTTTCACGGATGCCTGACACTCGCTACCCTGCGGAAAAAACACCATTTTTGTGTGTTATTTCCTCGGCGTCTTACATGCGCGTGAACACAAGCCAAAGCGAATAAACCCTCTCTACGATCATTCAAGATTGTTATGTCACAGCGACATGTAATGCAGGCGTAACCACGAATCCCGTGACGCGTTTCCTGACTTTTGTTATCTAGAAACCCCCCCAGGTCCTCTAGCTATTATGGGATTGCATCTGAACTTTCGAGCTAAATTCAAGACGGAATACTAACGTCTACAATGAGAAGGCAACACAAAACCTCAGAATGAGTTGGTTTGTTCTTCTTTTGATATCTGGAGTGGACTTAGGCGCAGTCTTTTTCAATGTCCGACTGCTAAGAATCTGCTTCAAAGACAAATCGAAGTACGAGTTTCGTAAAAGATGCAGAATATTGGCCCTTTGTCAAGGCGCTTGCCAAGTCATAATTCTTGTTGCAGATTCTGTAGAATGGTGGAATGGTTTCACCATTTTCCTTGGTGAAACATGCAGCTTCTCCAGAGTCCTGTCTCATTCTGCGATTTTCTACCAAACTTGTAATTTGACGGCGATGATGACTGGTTATTTGGAACATCCCGAGGGAAATGAAAAGAAAGTGCCTTATCCGAAAGTCCGAATATTTGCCGCGCTTTGTCTTGGATTTGTCGGCTCCGCAATGATCTTGTGGCACAACTGTTTCTCTTATGCGTTGATTTCTAAGGTGATGTTCGGGGTTGCCTTCTTTGTGACTGTATCACTCGTCGTGTCTCTCCTTGCAGTAACTCTTACCAAAAACCTCGAAACCGACTCAACAGAGTCACAGTTGGCGACCGACACTTCTTCATCAGCATGGAGATTCTGGAAGGAGAACAAGGTGCCCATGTTTTTCACAATGTTGTTACTAGCTTGTCTGGTGTTAATCCTCAGCGGCGTACCCCACTCTGAATCACTGCTGTATAAAGATTTGGAAGAAGTTGCAATTTTTAAGGAGATTATGTTTTCAGTGATCACCAAATTTGCAGTCGGAATCGTTATACCGATGACTTTGCATGATCTGATAAATTCGAGCTATGTGGGCAATAAACTTTAAACTGTAACTGCATCTGTTTTATAACGGGAAGATAAGCTATTAGCGAAAAATAAACAACTTCATAAAACAAGGCCACTTTCAAAGGAACATATGTCTTGTGACTCGTTTGGCTTGGCAACGGACGAAAGAACAAGGAATACAGAATATGTGCGTAACAGAACGGATCTGAGCCGCCTTGTTTGAAGGTTGGTTTAAAGTGGGCCTGTATTTTGTACTTTAGCCACGAAAAAGTAGCTCACTAAATGGAAATTAGAATTTGTTTTTGTTCAATTGGACCGTAAAATTGACAGTCAAAGGACTTTGCCGTTTATGGTTTCCTCTGCAGATCGATCCACCAAAAATAAGCGTAAAGTGACGAACGGTTTAGACGTATCCATTGTTTGATCTTTAAGTAAATGATTTACTTTGCAATAAACTCAAAAAATATTGTGTAGGAACCCGTCCCTATAACTAACTTGAAATTTATTTATTAATCATGGACATCATTAAGCAGCAACTTTTCAGAAGTTTTACACACAGCTTATGTCTTGCCAGATTTTTTTTTTTTTCATCCTTTTATTTAAGATAGATTTGTTTATGATCAGATTTGTAGACATTAATATTTGTTATGTAAATGCGCAATTCAGTTCTGGAACTGCTATGTATTTATGAATTAGTAAACTTCAAAACTTTAAACTACAGAGGGCTATGGCCATTCTACACTCCAGTCGTCCCAACACAGGTCATTAACTTTCAGCGCGATTCCCAAATTCAAGTCTAATTTTCTTTTTCTAAAAGCACGCGAATGAATGACAATATTTTAAAGAGTGTAAACAAAAGCCTTACTCCTCAATATATTGTACACGTGATAAGCTAAAGTTCACTCCTGCCATGGTGGTGTGATCATTGTATCATATCCAAATTGCAAGAAAGTTAAGGTTGGCTGATAATGCAAAATAATTGGTAAAAAAAAATCTCCCAGAAAAATCCGACACCAGTTAGATGAATGCAGGGAAAATCAGCGTAAATTTTAAAAGGAAAAAGCCCCCCTCCCCTCGAAGAAAAATTCTGGCGTAGATTCAATGCCTTGAGCTTCTCTCGACATGTGATTTACAGTTTAAAGAGGCTTGATCGATATTGCTTTGCAAATAGCCCAAAACGTTTGCCATAAAAAATCTGTAAAATGCAGGCATTTGGCAAGTATTTGAATTGATAGCCAAATTGCCTTCCATCGATCCGTCCATGAAATATTATAATCTTGGAGGTGTGGACAAGTGGTAACTATGCGTATTATTTTTGAAACCGCTCAAGAGAAATAAGAATACTCTGCATCATTAAGTTTCACAGGAGACGATCACAAATACCTTAAATTGCACTAAAGAGTACACGTCGTTTATCTTAAGTTTGTTTGCAGCAAATGGTAATACATCTTTCCTGACCTAACTCGAACTTAGCCTCGAACGACCAACAAAGTTTACCTGTAATGAAAACTTCAATCAATTTTGGGATGATGGGATAATTTTCAATACATTTGTGCTTTAATGACGATTCATCTCAAGAGATAACATTCACCTTACTTCCACAGCGTATCACTTGTTATCTGACCGCTTACTTTGATGAAAATAACCCATTTTAGCGAGTTGTGCATTTCGAGGTTTTCCACGTACATAAGAGAAGCTGTTTAGGTGTCGTCGATTCCGTGGCTATAATTTGTTTTACATCACTCGCTTTCAAATGGATTGAATCTACGTATTGCTGCAAACGCTAATCACTCGTATTCAAACTTTACTAGAACAAACTTCCGTTCATCGAAAATTTAATAAATTTGACATGACACATTGTTGAACACGGTAACTGAAAATAACAAAATTACAAACACGCGAATTAGCATAAAACAACTTACAACGTATGAGTGAAAGTACTGGAAAACGACCAAGCGAAATAAACTTGAAGGACACTTACAAGACGAATGTGACCAAACCAAAAGACGAAAAAATGAAACCCAAAGCACAATATGTGCCGATATGTTACGCAAACTAGACAACTATCCAAATAAATTACGCGCGAACGGAATATGTACAATATGCAAATAAATATAACAATTACAAAACTGGCAACTGACAAAGGACACTTATGAAGACAAGAAACAAAACACTTAACACCAAACTATGAAAAAACAACAAAAACATAATAATACCAATTCTTGCGCCTACAATATGTCCTCTGATTCTACGTTCTTTGAAATTTCTGTTACATATACCTCTATAGTTTTTGCTTGCTCTAGTTTCTTTAACTTTGTTGTAAGTCTCTTGATGCGGCTGTGGTGAAATTTCACCAGCGCTCCAATAGGGTCACGTTCTGCTTTCTTTCGGATCGAGCTCAGGCTGATATCTGATTGAAAAACCTTCATCGATCGCGATGTTCGCCCTTGCGTTGTAACTTAGGATTTTTGGGCATGTGACCTTCTCAAGACGAGCTTTGAAGAATCTGATAGAGTTGTTTCTTAGAAGTGTCAGGGATACAACGCACATAAGAAGGCCTTTCTTATGTACGTGGAAAACCTCGAAAGGGACAACTCACTAAAAGGGGTTCTTTTCATCAAAGTAAGCGGTCAGATAACAAGTGATGCGCTGTGGAAGTAAGGTAAGCTATTTTTATTGAGAATTTGATGCATTTTTCAATTCGTTAAAGCGATCGCAAATATTCCCATACAAACTCTAATAATTCCGCCATGACTGTTATTGCCAAGATGATCATCTCACAGATGGAGCTCGGGCCGCCTGTGATCCCATAAGTATTTTTGAATTACATTACCCTCATTCACACTCTTTCCTAAAGCCTTACAAACTTCGCTCTTGTTTTTCAGAAAAAAAATGCAGAAAACAGTGAAGAGCAAAGTTACTATCCAGTTAGTATAAAAACAGCACTGCCCAGAGACGTGATAGATACTCGATGTATCGGAGACTCGAAATCATACCAATCCATGCCATTAAATTTTCGAAAGTAAAACTGCAGTCTTGATGACGAGCCTTCTTTGATGGGAGATAAATAGATTATGAGTCAGTTAAAGATTATTGGTTTGGTTTGCATGACCGAAAAGATTATATCGTTGTCGTACAACGCGTTCCGTTCACGAAGGGCAACGTTGCATGACGCCCATGTACTATTTGGTTTTCACATGCTGACTGACAGAAGCACAAGCTCAGACACAATCAAGAAGAATATCGCTAAATTGGAAATACAGTATTTGCCTATGCATTCTTGCTAAAAATATCGCTGATGGCTTTGATAAAAAGTTGCACTGGTAAAATTTCCGCACAGCCCCATACTATTTTTAAACAAATCTGTTTTCCCAATGGCAATGTATTGTTTTTGCCGTTGTTTTCTCTATCCAAGAACTGAATTCATAATGTGTTCGGAACTTTTACCGTTGCACTTGCCGACCACTGCCGCCGTGTGCGCTTTGAACATACATCTCTCAGAAAGTTCCTGCCAAAGAAAGTGCTAGCCCCGACAACAGGTAAACTCCTACAATGTGGTTTTATCATCTGAGCTGATCATTGAATAAGAATAGCGTCTATTGTGTTAAGCCTCGATCTTCAAAGCCTCCCGACACATGTAAGTGAGGCGGAGCAAAGTGGCCGGGTATTCTGCAGTTTGGCCGCCAAAGGGTTTCTAAAGTTTACATTTTGAGCGTTAACCCTTTGCCAGAGCAGGCAAGGAAATAGGAATAGGTAAACTTTTATTTGTTGGTCAGATTTTTGCTTTGAATTAATGAAGTGAACAGGACCATCAATAACACAAGTGCGCCATTTTCACGACTGTATCGGCAAATTTAGGCTTTCGCTTACCAAAAACCTCAATCAGAATAACTCGTCAAATTCCTTGGGGCGAGAGTGGTTTGTAGACTGGTTTTTTTCGTTAATCAGGGCAGCAGCTTTTGTTTAGAACCGTGCATCGTGCTTTTGCATGGGAAATTATTTTGCTGAATTGTTCTGAAAAATTTCTAAATCGCGTTTTTTATCTCATTTGAGTGCAGTTTTCGAACGGTCAAGTTAGGGAACTTTTAAGAATATTCGATTTTATTAGACACTTTTTACTGAGGTGATGTGAATTGTTTAGTTTCTAGAATAAACTTCTCCTGTAACGGTTCGAAATTTAATCAGAGAGGGGAGAAAAAAAAAGAGCAAGATATCGTGCAGCCTCAAACTTCAGTTTAGACAAAGAAAACAAGAGAGTTGCCTTTGGGACTTCGGCTTTGTTTTAGAATATTGTTAGCTTTCCGAAAATAGCGACAACTATGATTAACAGATAATTTAGTGTTTACAATTGAGTTGAAAACGTAAATTGATTACCGTAAAGAGTTTAAGGTTATTGTTTTCTTTGTCTAAGATGACGTTTGGGGCTGCACGACATCTTCCCCTTTTTCTCCTCTCTCTGATTAATTTTCTAGCCTTTAAACTCTCTACGGTGGTAAATTTACCTTTTCAAATGAGTTGTTAACACTAAATTACCTGCTATACTCTCCCAACGACGCAACACCAAAGTATCTCTAGAAACTAACCCCCTTTATTCATTTGATAACTATGATTAGCTTAACTGTTTATTGAGTACCATCAACTCTGGAGCCGAACCCAAAATCGTTTGCGTCAAACAAAAAGGTCTGCCCTCAACCCTTTAACACCCAAGATCTCACTAGTAATTCTCTTTACTTTCTGACATACAATTCTTATGACGTCAATTTGAAGAATTTGATGGTATTGGATCATTTAACAATCCCTTCATTGATATTTTACTTTATTCTCATTACTCCTCTGCTTGATATTGTATTGATATTTTAAAAAGAAAATTTCTCTCGGTGTTAAACGATAAAAATAGAAATATATCTAATCTAAAAATATTGTAAGGGTTTCCTATATTGGTGTTGGAAAACGAATGGAAATAATGTATTTGCATAAGCCATTCAGTAAACATTGTAATAGGCCAGTTGATCATTTCTTATCCCTTTTGGCGGTCTTACCTTACAGGTAGAGTTTGGTTACCTTTTCCTTATTACGATCGTGAATTTGACATAGAGACAGATGTTTTTGCGTAAACTGCGGTTTGCGGCTAGATATCGGTATATTTTCATAATGATTAATTACGAAGAAAATGACTCTACCCTATAAAAATTGATCCCGTATAGGAATTTCCTGGAAACATCTCTCCTTTATACTTTTATCCATCTAATACTCTCGTTTTTAGACTAAATCCATGTCGAATTCCCGATCAGAAAAATAGTTTTCAGTTTTTAATTTAACACGTTTGACACCTCTTTTTCTTAGAGGTGACTTGAGCTGTAAACATGTAGTACTTTTCATCTTCCGCACTGAATTTGTAATTAGATAACTTATACGACTAGAGCGTAGAAATTAGAAAGACATTTCCTAAAGCGTCAACATCACGAAGGTATCTACTTAGTATGCGAACTCCGTTCTGCGTGGCCCAACGTGATTCGCTATTTAAGTGTAAAAGTATGACGAAGGCTAGAGATTGACAGCTCCGTAAGTGTCACCTTTATAAGCGGTGACCTCGACTTTCCTTGAGAGATCAGAGCTAGTCCCTGTTATAATAACTAGTGCAGTAATAAGGAATATAGAAAGAGACGACAAGACAACGAGTGTTAGAGTAAATTTTTACTCTCAACATTGGTCACTCATGCGAGGTAAAGGGTTGAGACCATGGTAGCTCACACTTTTCATGAAGTGTCGTGAATTTCAAAACCTCGCAACCTATTTATACGTTCGTTTTCGACAAATCAGGAGCGCAATATAACCTAGCATAATGATCAGGTAACCGCTAATTTATCATATTTGTACAGATCTCCCCTGGCCCTCCCCGATGCTGTTAAGATAGGAGTGTGCTCTCAAGGAACAAACCAATACAGTTTATTTCAGCCACGTACTGAGGAGAGAAAGACGTCGCTCTCGCATCATGTCCTTAACCGTGTCACCTTTTCTTTTGATATCCATTCTGGATTTAGCCGCAGTCTTTTTCAACGGACGTCTATTACTAAGCTGCTTTAAAGACAAAACAAAGCAGAAGTTCATTCAAAAGTGCCGGATATTAGCAAGTCTTCAGGCCGCCTGCCAAGTTTCAATTCTTGGCGTAGATACCGCAGAATGGTGGAAAGGTTTCCGCATTCAACCTACAGAGTCCTGTAATGTTTTAAGAGTTCTTTCCCTTTCTATGATGTTTTTCCAAACTTGTAACCTGACGGCAATCATAACAGTGTACTATGAACATCCCGTTGGACACGAAAAACGGAGATCATTTTCTTACCTTTTGGTATACGCAGTGCTTCTTCTGGGATTCATCGGTTTCGCAATTTTCTTATGGCACGGTTGCTTCTCACAAACGTCTATTTCTCAAGCCGTCGTAGAAGTTGAATTGATTTTAACCATGTTTCTTATCTTCTACCTGCTTTCCGTAGCCTTGGATAAAAACGATGCTGAATACAACAAGGAAGTCACCTCATTAAAATCAGACGCCTCGACGAAGTCGCGTTTTTCGTCATGGTCGTGGAAAGCCTGGAAAGAAAGCAAGAAGTCCTTATTCTTCACCGTTTTGTTTACGGTATGTTTGGTGCTGATTTTCAGCGAAGTGGCCCGCGCTCGTTTCGAAACAGCTTTGTGGGATCGGGATTTGAAAAGAGAAACGTCGTTCGACGGAATTGTTTATCTACTGATTATAAAATTCTGTGTGGGAACAGTTTTACCCGTAACCCTGTATGATTTGATTGATTCAAACTATGCCGGAAAGAAAGACAAAGCCACCATATCAATTGTGCCTGCATTAATTTAAAAGGTAACTTCGCCATTAGTTACAGAAACTGAAGTAGACCATCGCTTAATAGCCAGATAGATTAACTCGATCTTTCTTTAGGAGTTTTTCTTTTTTTGGAAAGTAAAGAAATACACGGCCTCTTATTTACATTTGATTGACTCTCATTATGTCATGATATTCTTCGTTACTTCTATTTCCTCAAAGAATGTCGATAGGGTTGACGTCAGAGGCACTATATTCGATAGTTTTTGGAAAGTAGAAATTTGAGTGAAGATATCATTTGGGCTAACATCTGGGTAATTAGATTATAAAAAGGGAAATCGTCGATTTGTAATACTAATAGTGCTAAGTTTAGAATTTCTTTGATAATATTGTTGCCAATGTTGTTAGATCCACTGTGACTAATATTGCTATTATTGTCCAACTGTACTAAGTAGTGTATAAAAAAAAGAGCGAGTCGAGAACAAATATCGTACGATATTGCACAGTTGCTATTAATTCCCCCTTGTTAGAAATGCGCATAAAATCAAGAGTTGGATAATAAATAACTAGCTCATCAATCGTTTATGTGTGTAGTATTGCTGAGTATTTTTACTCGTTGTTTATATTTTGACTCACCTTACGGGATATTCAGTGATACCACGCGTTAAAACGACTTATAAGATATATCACTCTGCGGAACCACGTGATAAGTCTGTGAATGTCGTTTCAGTCTTTCTCTTTCTTTGATAAGAATATTGATTGATTTTTTCTTTATAATATTGCCTGTTACAAATTCGTAATTCGTCATAATATATTTCAATACTCTCTTAGGCTTCTGTAAGAATCGTTTCCTTTTCCTTTTCGCGGGAAAAACGTGAGCTGAGTAGAAGTAGCACACAAGGATCAGTCGAAAGAGAAAAAATCTTCCGAAGCGGGTAGGAAGTAAAGGATAATACGCTGAACATTATTAACAGAAAGGCATTCCAGTCCCATGTCGCAGATATCACTAGTTCAAACGCTCAAGACGATTCCTGAAGTCACATTTTTCTATACAAAAAGAAAAATATATATTTTAATTCTGAGATTCACTTTCCAAGTGGTGAGCCATTTGAGACGCGACATCAATTACAACCATTAAAAAGCAAAGTTAGGTAGGAGATCTTTATTCACATGAAATTTACAAATCATGTTTTACTTATCTGTCCTTCGCAACAATCTTGAACTTCCATTTAGCAGGAACCTTCGTGAAAGTAAAAATTCTGCTGAACTGTTTCAAGTGAAGGCAAAACAAAGACTAACAAGCCAGTTGGTGTTTAAAGGGGTCTTGGTTTTTGCGGCTAACAGTTAATTTTCGGTTAATTTAAGGCTAACGGTTAATATCTTTCCATTGTAATACCCAGAAAAAGTTTTTTTATCGTTAATTGTTTCTAAGACTAAAGGTTAAAATTTGTCTATATTTTCGCTTAATTGTGAACTGTTTTTGCTTGCATCCGGAAGTCTGAAAGACGCAAAAAATAAAGACTACTCTTTTGAATGACGTGGGACTTTTCAAAAACGCTTAATACGAGAAATTGAGTCGGAACGATGTAATAAACCATTCTTTTATACAATGTGCGCCGTCAAAGTCCTTTGTTTTGTGGTATTGGTGACATGTATAAACACTTGTTACAATGACCTTTTCTTTTCGTAGAAGCGAAGAAATATATTGATATGTCACTAAATACTTTAAAATGCATCTCAAAAGCTTCATGAAAAAATTTAGTGTTGTCTTCATTTTTATCAAAACTTTTTCTTTAATCTTTCTGTATTCATCAGATCTTTAATGAAGGCGAATGAATAAAGGGGTTAAGTTTCTAAAGAAACCGTGGTGCCGCGTCGTTGGGACAGTATCAAGGTAATTTGTTGTTATTGGCCACCGTAACTGAAGTTTCAAAGCTGACATTTCAAGCATTAGCCCTTTGTCAGAGCGAATCACGCGAAGCGTCAGCTTTGAAAATCTTCACGGCGGCCAATTTACTTTATCAACTCAGTTGATAATATCAAATTACTTTAATGAAGTTAGATTCTTTAAAGCTTTGAGGAGTAGCAGAACTGGATTGCGTGACAAGGATAAGTTGCTGACTAGAGTATTAATTTGCGTGCCATTCAATATTTATGGTATCAGACCACTGGTGCTTCTATTATACTTTTGAATACTTTAAAATATCACAGTATCATTGTTTTCGTTGATTGCGTGCGGGAAAAATAAAACTAAGAACCGAGTTATGATTTGAAAATAAAAAGATAAAACTAGATCCCACCAGTCCCAAACAGTTCGCGACTCCCTCTCAGTTAGCCGAAGGAGTTCCTTTAAACAATCGTGGTTTCCTTTTCATCGTCAAAGCTGGACTGTTCAATTAAGTCACTGAATGTAACAGGCAAAATAATTCCCACAACAAACCTCATGATGAAATCGTAAATAATTTCAGAATTTGTGACCATCAATGCATGTTTTTCTCGATCGAGAAGAAAGCCGCTGAGAACCATCACCAAGCACAGAAGTAACGTAGCTATAAATAAAGTGGGCCGTTTGTTTTCCTTGCAAATGTTCCACAGCACCTCGCAGTCTATAAAAACTTTTGAAGTAGTGTCCTCGAAGTCGTCTTTGAGATATTTGAAACCCGCAGCCAACAACAGAATGATGAACAACGCAACGAAAATAAATCGGACGGTGATGAATACCGTTACTGAAATATAATAATGAGGAAAACAACTAAACCACCAAATCATCGAGGAGCCAATCAACCCAAGAGTCACTGCTGCTGCTATTTTCAGTTTTGAACATCTGTCTTGGTGTCGAAATGTGACCAGTGGATGTTCAGAATCAATGCACAGAATCGCTGTCAAGTTGCAGGCCTGAACGAACGTGAAAGAAATCGAAAACAGTTTGACAACATTACACGGTTGTCCTGGATTGTAACTACGATCGTTGAAAATCCGCCACGAATCAACTGCTCCCGTGATCACAATCACAAACTGGCAAGCACACTGGAAAATGGACAATCCTCTACACTTTTGAAGAAACTTGTATTTCGTTTTGTCTTTGAAGCAGTATGTTAGCATCCGCATGTTAAAGTAAACTGCTACAAAATCAAGGACTGTTAGGAGAAGGAAATGTGTCAAACTCATGATTTCTAAGTTCACCTGATTGGTATTATTTTCCGCGACAGTCGGAGGTTTACTTGCTGCGTGAGCAGACAACTATTAATGAGTTCTTTTGCGATACGCGCTTGACTTTTGCTCTAATGATAGTGTGAGAACTGAGAGAGTTATTCAACCAATCAGAATAAAAATATTCTTCAGTAATTAGTCGGTGGACCAATGGGAGGAAAATTAAGATTATAGAAAACCCTGAGAACAAGACAGAGTTCTTAATCGCTTTTAACAAAATTATTGCGTGCGTCCAAAAATCTGAATATTGCCTGAAAACAAGGTATTGGTGTGAGTGTGCGGATATTTCGTCCAAATTATACAGGAAGGCAACACTAGTATGTGTCAGGAGGTCGGGTTAGTATTTTTCAGCAAACATATGGGACTTTTGAAATAGGTGGTTCTTCTGATCAAAAACAATCAATGCTTTATATATATGATTAATCAAGATTAAATACTCGTGCTAACTTAAAAACACCAAAAGGTAAATTTCATACTCATCAAAATCTTATTGGGCGCTGTTGAACACAATCCACAAACCGGTCAACCTGCTATGAATGTCATTTGAACGTTTTACCCTAAGTTTATTCCACTTATATTGTTTTGTTTTGTGTTTTTTTTTGTTGTTGTTGTTGCTGCGGTTTTTTTAAAATAAGTAGCTGCATCCACATGCAGTATCCTCCTTGGATCACGGAATCGTCCTACTAATACTGCTACTGTTGTGAACGATTTCAAGTTCGCGTATGTGCGAGTGTTGAAAGCCAACTAGACGAGGTGTCATACATCGAGTAATTTGAAAATTAACGACAAATGTTAGCAATTATTGTGATGAATTTTGAAATATTATTTAAAATCAACAGCGTACGGTAAATCAATAAGCTTTGTGTTCAGAAAGTCTTAAGTTTTCCCTCCTCCTTCCTTTGTTTCATTTCACCTCGTTAATCCATCAGTCACGTAAACCTCAGCGCCTCCCAGGGGCAGAGAGGCCAGGATTTCAATTGACTGATGCTCAAAATGTTTCACTCATTTGCGACTTTTGCGTACCACTAGTTGTTCCATTGTCTTCCATTAAAATTTTGCACGGGATATAAGCGCGCGGCCAGCGTAAATTGACCTTTCCATTTAGTTTACTCTTGTCTGACGTTTGATGCCCTGCGTGGCAAACGGCATATTTTGGCGTCATTTATTTTGCGCCTTACAGGCGAGCGAACCTATGACGAAGTGTGAGGAACAGTGAGGATAAAATATTTTTATCCGTTTGTTACTCAAAATTTCGTTGCCAACTAACAGCTTTTCGGGTCTTGAAAGTTAGAAATCTCCAGGTGAAAGTCTTTTGACAGCATTATGATCTTGCGACACTTGGTTACCAGTCGTGTCATAATCAGTCAGTCGAGTCATTTCGTACCCATACTAATAAATCATGTTTTCTATGTTAAGTACGCTCAGTGTGTTGGCCAAGTCATAAGTACTTCCTTAGATGCCACAGAATCGTGGAATGGTGTCAGTAATCAGAAAAGATCTCTAGCAATATCTCCCAAGTTCTGTGCCTTTCTATGGCGTTCTTCCAAACCTGCAATTTGACGGCGATTTTAACGGTCTATCATGAATATTTGGTGGGGTACGAAAACGAGATTTCCTTTCGAATCTCCGAACGTCCGCAGCGCTTATTTTGGGTCTCGCTGGTTCTTAAATGATCTTGTGGCACAATTGTTTGGTTAAAGCACCCATTTCTCAAGCGGCCCTCGAAACTGTTTCGTTTCTGACAATGTTATTCATTGTTTTGCTACTAGTTGCGGCTCTGGCTCAAAACAACAACGAAGGTAAACTCAAAATTACGTCACTAGAATCAGACGTTACAAAGAACCCGAGCTTTTTGGCTGTGAAAGTTTCTTTTCTTATTCTTGTGGAATATGTGGAGCTGCCGAATCACGCAGAGACATACTTTTGCTTCTTTCTCGCCCCATTCCTTCGCATGACTACCAGTGCCCTCCTGCTTTTGAAAACGAAAACAAATAACCTGCCGTGTGCATAGAAAAGAAAGATGTCTATAGGATCGACGGATGAAAACATAGCTTAAGGACTAATTAACCACTGACTACGAGCAGCTTCTTTTCCCCTGTTAGTCCGAAGTGTGAGTCAAAAGCATTCGTCTCATTTCTCGGAGTTCGCGCTGCGCAAAATCATTATAATTTTTTCGCTGATTCCTTTTTCCGGTCAAACACACCTGCACCCTTCTCGCATCTTGTTTTCTGAACACCTGCTACACATGAGCAGTTTTTGTCCCTCTAATGATGCTATGAAAAGCCCCATTTTACTCAACATTGCCGTACATAAAGCAAACGAATTTTGTTGGGCCAAAAAGCGTCGATTATTTAATCACTCAAAACGCTAAAAATCTGGTCAATGTCATTCATATAATCTGCATGTTCTGCTGTTCCTTTTCTTCTGCGTTTTCTCCCTTCAAGTATCGCATTTTGTTTGGTCTCCATTTCTTGTTTTGTGTCGTGTTTTCCAGTTTTTCTCTTTCTTTTTTCCAGTGTAAGTGTTTTATTTCTACCGTAGGTTTTGTTGTTGTTCTTGTTCTCTCCCGCCTCTGTTGCGTGATAGCTTGTTCCGAGGTTCAGCGTCTCTTCCACTCCTTTCGAGTCTATATTATGGCCTTGAATTCTTGGCTTCTCCATAGCAAATTCATCTTCGCCAATTTTTTTCTGTTTCCCTTTCTTTCCCATTTCATCGCGACTTTTTTTGCCTTTCCTTGTAATCTTTTGAACTGCATCTTGCCTTGCAGCTATATTCTTTTTCCTTCTTCGGTTTAATAATTCTCTTCCTCCATCATTGTAAGCTTCTTTTCTTCTTTTTTTCGCAAGAGTGCCATCCTTGATTTTGCTTCCCTGTCTCCGTTTCCTCAACGTTTTCGTTTTCGCTTCGTTAACAGTTCCATCCTTGCTGTGTTCCTTTGTGGTCTCCGTTTTTAAAATGGTGCCATCTTTTCCACTATGTTTCTGTCGCTTTTTCATTTTATTTCCATCTTTTTCCCTTGAGACCCCTTTGCTTGACCCCTCCATGTGGCTCTTGATTTTCCTTCGATGTCTCCGTTTCCTCACCGTTTTTGCTTTCATTTTCGCCTCTTTAACAGTTCCATCCTTGCTGTGTTCTTTTGTAATATCCACTTTTAAACTTGTGTCATCTTTTCCACTCTTTCTCTCTTGTTTCTTTATTTTTCTTCCTTCATTCCCTCCTGCCGCACCTGTGCTTGATCCTGTCACGTTCCCCTTAGCCTTCCGACCACGTTTCGCTAACTTCCTTCGCTTCGCCCTCTCTACGGCTTGTTTCCAAGTTTTATTTCCAAATAAACACGTCTTTGAATATGAGCGTCTTCGAAGCCCGGCTCTTTGAAGAGGCCTTTTTAACTTCTCCTTGATCCTTGTTCGTGTATTGGAAACCTCACTGGCTATCATCTCTGCTCCTTCCTTTTTAGAGTCTAACTTTGCTGTCGATTCCCTTTTCAGCTCTTCAGGATTTTCACTAAATAATTTTCTTTTAGGCTGGAAATCCTCATCTATCGTTGACGCTTTTCGTTGCTAATGGAATTTAAAATATATTGGAGTGAATCAGAATTTACTCTCGATTTTTTACCGCTTTGAAATGACTTCTCCATTTACAAGATCAAGCGATTAACAAAAGGGGGTCTCAACTGAGTCAAAAAGGCAAACGAAAAAAAAGAAAAAGAAATAAAGAAAAAGTAAAAAAGAGAAAAGAAACACGCACGCACACCGTGCACTCACAAAATAACCGTCAAACTAGAGAATTTTACGTTAACTGAGAGTTAGCCTCCTTCAATTCAATATGCCCCACTCTCCTACATAAAGAATTGTTTGCGTGTATGGTGCCCCTTACATTAAACGCCATTCGCGGCCTAACGAGTAAGGAAAGGATAGCTGAACCCGATAAGCACTGCAAAGCTCTTCAAAACTGGATTCGCCATCGAAAAGACCTCCGAGCAAAAGAAAATAAAAGGGTACTACGACACAATCAACAGAGTTTTAACTGGTCTGCCGGCTACCAAAGCTCATTTGCAACCGATGCATGTACTGAACTGTACCTTCAGTGATTTGGTGATTTCGTCAGGAACGTACGACTCCCCAAAGTCAACTGGTGATTTTGTCAACGAATCGACAATTGTTTCGGAGATCCTGGATGAAGAGTCTAAAGGAAATTGTACATATGTTAACATTTCTTCAAAAAATAAATCTTTCAGCTGAAGTGTATAAACACTTTGAAAGAAGAGAGTGTCGTGCAGTGAACTGGACGCTCAAAAACCAATTTATTTCATAACACTTTAATTTGCAATAATGATTAACAGGCAACTTCTCCCCACAGTTTCAATACATTATACAGAGAATAGAAAAACTTATCAGCAGTAAGGTGTCATCTTCATTATAGAACTTTTATAGTTCTTTTACCTAGTCTATATTGAGAACATGGAGGTCCAACAGTTAGAGCAGTGGAGGTCTGGGTTCGAGACCTAACCGGGTCACTGTCTTATGTTGTGTTCTTGAAAAAGACATAGTGTCTCTCTCCGCCCAAGAGTATAGATGAGTAACAGAAAATTTTCGGGAAGCCTGACAGCAAGGTGAGGGGAGGGGAGTGGTGTGGGGAACCTGCGATGAACCAACATCCTATCCAAGGGGGGGGAAGGATAGTAATACTCTTAGTCGCTTCATTACACGAAGGCCGCAATGAACTCTGGCACCTTACGAACCACTTGGCTTGTGTATAGACTTAACCTTACCTTTTTTTTAAAAACCTAATTTGTAAGAAAATGTTCAGTAACGACGACGGTTACTTGGACTCTTTGACCGGATTGTAGAACTCAGAAAACCATGAACGGCAGAATGTTATTTTGTTCCAGGGAAAGTGCCAATCAGGCGCGAGAAAACTAAACAGCAAACAGAAATGGTAACTAGCTCCGGATTTGAAGCTTCCCCGTACGTCTTGAATTATATCGTGATTGTTCATAGTTTTCTGATACTCACTGTAACTGTTACCTTGAAGATGACCTCTTGGTGTTGATCCAAACAATTTATCCAGAGCTCCAGGTGTTGACGACTTCGCAGGTGGAGTCCTAGATGTGCTGTACGGGAACAGGAAAAAAAAAACAGAAAAAAGTCATGTATTTGCAAACTCTATTTGGCCGAATGGTTACCACCTGTGGACGTATCATTTAGTTTTTACCTTTCTATACCTGAAAGAAAAAAAAATGCACTAAATACAACAACAGCAACTGCACCTGTTCAGCTTTTGATTGGGGCGTTCACCTTCCAGTGGGTGAGGCCATATTTTGAGACTGTTCGGAAGATCTTTTGCCTCAGGACTTTCTTCCTGACAATGAAAAGTTTCATGCCTTTTTCAGTATAGACCACGAACAATCCCTCCCTCTTAGCTAATTCTAAAGAATAAGTCAAAAAAAAGATTAGCGAAAAAAAGAGAGTGATGTTATCGCGCCGTGCTGAACTCTGGGAGTGAAGCGCACGAAAAGTACTCACTCCCAGAGTTCAGCGCAGCGTCCTAGCATCAATTTTTTTTCTTTTTGGTTACATTTCTTTCGACTCGCGCGACGGAATCCACCAAAAAGGTAGGACTAATGGTAGTCTCCTATAAGTACAAGATATAGGTAAAATTATTTTGAGATTCTCTCATAAAATGCAGTCTGATCTCTTCTACTGATCTATTTTCACTCGCCTTACTTTTATGAAATTTGTCGAGGGAGAACAACTACAACCCTTCAGCCAATCACTTAGAAGAGGTAAATCAGAAAAGTGAAGAATTGGGAGATTTCTGCAGCTACGAGATTTTTCGTACTCGAGTGAACGTTTCCTCGAAAGTCTTAGTAATTTTACAGGCGCGAAAGGGTGATTTTTAAGAAACCTGTTTGCATTCAAGATCGAGATATTGATAGGTTTGAGACTCAAACATGCAATAAAAAAACAAAAGCCAGTGCTTTTTCTTAGCTGAGACACCCACTATTATTCCCTTAAATAGTGATTTAAATATGGCTTCAGGCTCGTAAATTTACCGCTAATTTCAAGAAACAGGTGTTAAGAGCATTAGTCCTCGACATTCAGATTCGTCTCGTGCAGAAAAATGGAAACATCTAGTATTTCAAGTTGCCTTTCACTTTGACAGTCTGAGGGTAAAATCTAGTACCCTATGTGGTGGGCCACTTCCCACGTTCTAATTCTCACCGTCTTCGTATTTTCTAAGAGACTAATCCATGGGAACAGAACGTCGTAACACTGTGATAAGGAGTGCATAAAATCTTTTAAAAAGACCCTAAAAGAAGAGATCAGAAATCAGATAGATTTACAAACGCTTCTACAGCTACTCTAATGCGGACCTAGCATATATTTCCCCGTATCCTTAAACGGACCCACAAAATGTCTCCTAAGCGCAAAGATACTTCTGTTTTCACATTATTGCTTACACTTTTTAAGTTGTAACAAATATATATTTAAGTTGTAATAAAATATGTGTTTAACTTCTCGCCATTTCTTGCCTCTGTTGTCTGCTCTTAGACCTCTTTATCAAAAACCTTTGCGCCAAATGACAGAAAAATAACTTTTTTTTCAGACTGTTTACCTTGACCTAAAATCAATCGAGGAAAAAATGCACCTAGGGATTTTGTAAAAAAATGCAAATTGCAATACTGTAAACAATGCTATTAGTACCTTCTTGCGATCAAGACAAATGGATACTCACCACACCCTACTTAAACTTGAAACACACGTCAAGTGGAAAGTTACAAAAAAACCTTTGGTCAACTCCGCGCAAGAATACCTAACAACAGTTAAGGGTTGGATCTTATGGATTCCATCACCCCCCTCTTTACACAAAGTGTAAGTTTAACAATGTTCTCTTTTGGAATTGCTCTTAGCAAACTGCACTTCCTTACACAACTCCCCATATTTCTTGATTCTGGAGAGGACCATTCAACCCTTTAACTCCCAGAAGTGACTAACATGTAACTTCTGCCTGTGACATCCATATGTTTTCTAGCAAACAGTTGATGAGAATACTTACACATCAACAAGAAGTTTTTATCTTGATCTTACAACAAATTCTCGTAACTAGTTTGCAAGGAATTGAGTAGCAGCAAGAAGAGAGAATTGACAGTCAAGATCTTAGGAGTTAAAGGGTTAAACACTTTCCTACTACCTTCACTTTTATCATTTTTTAACATTCTACACACAAACATCAGTTTGCATATTCTTCATATTCTTCAAGGAGAATTTGTTTAACAATCAAGAGCTTCTTTAGGTGGTAATCATTTCTATTATCCTTGTGACCTTAATGTGCAATTCAGGGGAGTGAGGAGAAATAAGACTTCAGTCACTCTTAAGGGTCAACATACATGTTCGTACATTTTACAGATATTCCTGACAATCTATATCCAGAACCTACACTGAATCTGTAGCTGTTTAAGATACAAATGTGCTAACAAATCCAATTCACAAAGCATTCTTTAGTGTACCATGTTAAACACATAAATCCAACTTTACTTTCATCAAACAACAACAAAAGCACCAACAACAATTCAGGCAGACCAGTCATTATCATTCATCATAAATGAGTTCTTGTTGTAAAAGGATTTCATAACGTTCTACTATCTAATAAAGTAGTGGAAGAAAGGATATAGAAATGTCTGTTGGCATAAAGACAATATCTGTGGAAAATTCAACAACAAAAAATTTAAACAATAACAATTACTAATATTTTGGCTAGTCAAACAATTTAGCCACAGCTGGTCACCAGAGCCACAAAATCAGTGATTCAAATGATAACTGTGAGTAAACAATGGGATAAAGGGGGTAGGTTTCTAAACAACCTGTAGGGCTGTGTTAGTGGGGGGGGGGGGGGAGTAAAGCAACACAATTTGGTCATATAAAATGAGTTGATAGTGTGAAGTGGCCTCTGTAAGGAGTTCCTAAGGAATTAGCCCTTCCTCGTGGCAAATGTGAGGGCTCATGCTGGAAACTTCAGCTTTACAATCTCTTAACAGAGACCACTTTTCATTTCTTTATCAACTCAGATGATAAAACCGAAAAAATCAATGAATTAATATCAATATGGATAAAAATTAATCACCTGTGCCCCCTACAGGTGGAAAATAAATGTGTCAAAACAGCTGAAGGATTTTGCATCATACTTTTTTTTCGAAAGACATTTTGAGGGGACTTTACATATCCAGAAGGCTTACAAACACATTTGGCATTCTTCAGCAAAAGACAGAAAAGAAAGGGCACCTGAAATGTAAGCTGAGCTGCTCCAACAAGACAACCAAGAATACTGACAACAGATCCAAAAGAAGGAAGGGTTGATGGTGGTTTAACAAAAAACCCATTCTTGGAAAGCCTATAAGAAAAGAGAACTTCACACTTCGCCTGCATTTTCTGCTTATTAAAACCTTTAACTTGTGCAAGTTTTTTTTAAATATGAAACATCTCCATACACCATCCATCCACACATTATCCAAGTGATGAGAATAGTAATGAGAGATTATTTTAATGAGGAAACAGAGCATGTTTCTGAACGTTTTTTTTTAGCATTTCACTCTACATATGCTGGCTTAAACAATCTACAGGATTCTGTTTAAAAGTTGTAGATATACTGTATACCTGGGAAAGGTGTTTCTTAAATCAATCATCTTGTTATAAATTTCTGTTTCTCGCAGCCTGCTCAGACTTTTAACAATCTGTAAATAAGAATGTATACAGAAAAGTGAAAGAAGTTCTGTTTTGCTGAGGAACAAAACTTAACTGCAGGAATGGAAAGTATTTATCTCATATGTGCAATTTAATCATGATAGTACCCTTTTCAATCCTTGGAAATAGAATTGCTTTCTGTGCTGGTTTCCATTTCTATAAACAACTCTCTTGATGATGGCAGCCTCTGACCAGAGATGTGGTAGCTTTGCTTTAAAGACAAGAGAGTTCAGCTTGCTGATAGTGTCTTTTATGTCATCTAAAAAAAAAAAAAAAGTAGAATATATCAATATTTTCACAAGCTTGATGCTAACTCTCATAAGACTACTGCAATTTCATAAGAGGGGTACCAGTAGAACATCTTGCAGCTGAAAAGAAGTTCATTAATTTGATTCCTATTCAAAGGTGACCCCATGGCAATTCACTACAAACTCTGTAATTCACAGAACAACACAAATGTTGTGAATAGGCATGTGTACATTTTGATAACTTGATAGGATCAATTTCTCCTAAATCAATGGATCAGCTCAACAAGTACAATGGCCTTGTGTTCTTAAACAATCCCAGAGACCTATACTTTACTTGCATACTGGTTATTTTGATTTGGCCAATCACAACTCTTTTACAAGCCTGGTGGCCTACCTAGACAGCGATTGGTAGGGGAAATTTCAGGAAACTTTGATCAACTTTTATTTCTGAGAAAACACCTTTGGAAGTATTTATATGTACTCTGATCTAAGGAAAAACTAATCCTATATGATCCTCATTCAAGAGTCATTTTAATTTCCTAATAGAAATTAATCACCGGATCCATCTACGGCACAAGGCAAACAGGACACGTTTTACCGTTAGGTACCCCTAACTTTGTTGTTCCTTTCATTTATTTGTTTGCATATTTGTTTCAATGCCGTGCACGCGACATGTACATGTGACAGTGAGACAATACCAGATCAACAGCTTCATTCATCCCACGTGCGCGCGAGATAAAGATAATCCAAAATTCTGTAATTAATGTACTCATTATAAATAACGAATCGTCGTTTATCTCAATTAAACACAGATCTGATTTCCCGAAGACTAAACCAAGGATAGTTCCGTAACATTGTGGCACTTGAAAGATGGAGAGATGTGGGTGCTTCGGTTGCGTACGCTGTATGTTTGCATTGAACGCTCTATCGGGGCAGATCTTATCATTGGTGAAGTGTTATTAAAAAATTTACCTTCATCTACTCTCTCCTTGCAAATGTATTCCTGAGAACATATCTGCAACGAGCTATACAATTCCCTGTGGTTCCAAAACCCATTCATCAAAACGTCCGCCATATTGTTATGTTATTCTTCGACGAGTTACCGCTGGTCAACACGAATTATGTCCTTCAACCGCCTCAACCCCAGTCTTCACATATGGGGAACGCTTGCTCGAGAAAGCCCGTGTGCTCAGTTGCTGAGGAATTATACTAACATTCTGTGATTATACAGCTGTCCCTGCTGTTATCAAGCCGGTTACCGCTCTTTTTATTGTCCGATTCCATGTACGAAGGAATCCTTAAATGTAATGACCACGAAACATATCTGCTCAGTTTGGCTTTGAACAACGCAATTTACCCTACGAATTTGCGTTAAGTTGTTTAGAAAGATTATAAAACCAAAATTTTTATGAGAAATTGTTTATCTCCAGAATTTTGTGAACTCTACACAGAATCAAAGCAAAAAGCTTCCTTCTTTTAATCCTTAAATTCTACTCAAAAATGCTCATCTGCGCGCGCGAATGAAGACAATCTCTGGTTCTTCTTAGATTGATGACTCGTCGCTTATTTGACGTCACGGCTGAATTAAAAACGCGTATGAAAATAGTATTAGCCATCTTCTCGTTCAACAACAAATATATCATTGCTTTACTGGACTTTTCAATGGTGCAGGTGAAGATGTGCCATGGTGGTGAGATTATTTTAATTTTCAATTTCGATCAGGAGGCAAATCGTGAATCTATGATTGTGATTGCTTTATTTTGCAGTTTAACATCCGAGGATTTACACTTCACCGAAAAGAGCTATATACTTCGTTATCATTACTTTTGGTTACACTTCTTTTTGGCGCCCTAGTTAACGACTTTGTTGCAATCATAGACGTGGAGATGCCTGAGAACTCGACTCACGAGTTCACCTTTGCGATCCTGGTAAGTATCACGATGGGTAAAGACGGAGTATGTATAGCATACAAATACGACTTCTTTTTAAAATCCCAGCGAGCGTGAGGTATATATGTATATATACATACACATAGTTACGTGTATAATCAAAGCTACCGGAATATCAGCTGAGATTTAATCAGTTATAAAATCCTAAATTATTGAACCTGTTCGTGCAAGCATACCGCTTAAGATGATTTGTCGCCGATATCTTTCAGATGTTAAGAACCGCGAAGACTCTTGAAGAAAGCATAGTTTCAATGAGTCACTGAATTATTTTCTACAATTCAGCCTTTCTAAAAATCCTTAAATAATCTTAGTCAAAAGGCTGACAGGTATAAAAGTTTCTAATGGTCATGGCAGTTAAACCCTCTTCTTCCATTCGTTGTCTTTCTAGTTGCTCCACTGTGTATCCTTTACACTCTCCATCCTGGGTTTTGTTTATAATAGTCTAGCCGAGAAAAGCATTGGAACGATATTAGGACAAATTTTAGTAGGTAAGAAACTTTTTCAGCCATGGATGCTATTAGATTGCCACACGTGAGAGACTAGGAGAAAGAGAACACACAGAACCTCTCTCTTTCTCTCTCTGGGAGGAGACTTTTTGAAAAACACGGAAGAGTATTATTTTTGTACACTTCGTCACCTTTTCAGGTCCGGTCAGGTGTTATAGGTATTCAGGAATCCGGGTGGTTTTTTTTGCCCGAATATACGGTACGCAGTTGTTCCTCAGTACGGTTAATGATTATCTCATCCCACTACCTCTTTCCAAATTTCCAATTCCAAGATTAGGCAGGAAAGTCAATAAACCAGAATTGAGTTTGAGCCTTCGAGAGAAGTTGTTGTTCACGAGTACGGATAGTTTCTTTTTTTCTGACGAGCTAGAACCTTGGAATCTTGTAAAATCTAATTGTAAGAGGATACAGCCAATAAAAAACCTTAAAAGATCGAAATAAATTGGATGACCCATCATTCCTTGTCAGAAAATGAGCCTTATGTTTTTAATTTTCTATTTTCTTTTAGCTTTTAATATGGGTTTATTCGTTTGTCGTATATTTCTTGAGTTAGTCTTCCTCGAATTTCGACCAGAAGAGATGGCAACTACCACGTAACAAGCGAAAGTAGCAAATTGATCATCTTTTAAGGTAAGTGATGTTTTCTTATATTTTCGCCTTGTGCTCCTCTTTTCGAGAAACACATGCCGCAAGCCAATTACGCGTTCTTCATTCACTTTCAAAATGAAGCCAAGTACAAAATATTTTTTGTAAAAAGAAATTTTGCTTGCACGAGATCAAAAATAAATTTTCAAAGACAAGGAATTGCATTTGGCCCCATTTTAAAACAGAAGCATTAGGCATCTCTCAAATGACCTGTTGCTTTTTATCGTCCGTATCATTTTCAGCATCTCATTTCGAGATTTCTGACCTAAAGATATTCGTCTAGTTGCTAAAAATTTCCATAACATTTGATTGGCTCAAATACAGTGAAGAAAGGGAAATACGGCGTTAGTAGGAACCTTGCAAATCGAAGCTTATTTTTCAGGTGTTAGGCTAATTAGGAATTGTTCTCTGTGGAAATGGGCGACCCCAGAACACAAGAACATTGTTTTCCAATAAACATCAGACGCGACGTCATGTCGACCAGTGCAAGGGCGACGGAAGACAAGTTGATGACTGCCAACATCGGAGTACCTTTGTTTCTGTCTTACAGTGGACATAAACGCATTGGCGAGTGTTAAGAAAAATGGCAGCGAAGCTTTAGTATCTAAAGAACTGAAAAATAAAAAAGCACGAAGATGACAGCTCTTCGATAGGCTGCTGAACAACTTGTTCACGCGAATTTTGTAATACTGTTTCGAGTCCATAATAAGAATGTTAATAGCTAGAAATTAATATTTAATAAAATTATTGAAAAACGAGTCAGTCTTAATCAGTGTGACTTAAAGAAAGACATGTTTGAGTGTGCGGGTTTTACCATGCAGTTTCTGAAAAAAAGTACTGAAATTATCCCTTCATTCTTTGAAGATCATCAAACACAATCAAACAATAATTGTTCTCAGATTACTTACACTGTAGTTATTACCCTCTGTTCGGGAAGGTAGACACTTTCAACGACTCTTAACTGGATAAATACTACACAATTTCTGTTGTAGGGGGAATTACAAGCTGGGAATTTACGGAGTAAAATTAAAAACGACTCTGTCGAACTTGGCTTCAATCAAAGCAAATTCACTGCATTTCTTAACAATTAATGATACCTTACGGCAATATATCTTTAATAATTTTATTTTCACTCGTAATTTTTTGCTCTAACTAAGAAGTACTTTATTATTTGTTCTACCCGATACTACTCGAGAGTCATAAGAGTGGACGAGAAGAGGGAATGTAACACAAGGTAGCCTCTCTGGGTATATGTAAATTCCTAACATCCTGGGAACTCTCCTCTTAGTTACTAGAACAGAGACGACAGCGGCCTTCGAAGACGGTGCGCGCACAAAATGAAGCCGGGAACACCTCCACGTTGCAAACATGGGTAAAAAATGTACAACATACATGCACCTTCAGGATTTATTGCCTACAGGACGCCAGCTTGCGCATTTCATACTGAAATCATTCGCATTCTAATTGTTTAAAAACTCGGCCTTAAATTTACGGTTATTAACGAGTCCTTTGAGCAGAGACCATGCGTTTCTTCTCTGTTCTTAAACAGAATACGATTAAGGACCATTTATTTTTACATGAGAGTTGCATCCTATGCGATTTTTATCCTACCACCTTGAACTCTTATGTTGGGATTTGCCATCGGGTCAAGAAACGGGTCCTTATCAGCCATTCCCCGTCCAACTCGTGTAAAAAGCACCACAACAGTAGTGAAGGCCAGAACAAACAGGATCAGTAATACTGTGGTTCGTTTTAAGGAGGCGTTTGGATCCTCAGGTCCAGGCTTTTTGGGTCGACGAGACCTGGAAAGCAAAAGTATAACATTGATAACGATTCATTAAAGCGCTGATACATGAACTAGGAGCTTGACTCTGAATCATATAACATTAGATCACAAGCAGTTACATACTCTTCCTCACGGCACGATAATTGCCTGCCACCAAGGCTCTAAGCGCAACTCTTTTCAAAGGCAGCATTTACATCCTATGTTTTATCATAACATAGCCGCCAGAATTATCAATCAGTCGCGATCTTTTTTCTTTTTCACATCTTAATATAAAAGACGACGACAAGGCACTGATTGCCTTGCATGCAAATGGTTCTCTCAATTAAACTTTCGACCATGCAAAGATAGATAGAAACATCATACCTGGCTTCAAGACCAACGAACACAGACCGACAAACTGGGCGACTTTCTTTGTAAATTTAGCTGCCTAAATTTGTTGTTACTCTAAATGGCGACCAAAAAGTTCCCAGCTTGGAGCGCTGAATTCACTGCTACTACCAGTCCTTCCAACCAATATGTAGCAGGACTATCCTTGTCAACTTGGAACGAATGTTTTGGCTGCGGTATATCATTATCACTGTGTGATCATTTGAAGAATTCTAAAGTTGCTTACCAAAACCATCTCGTGAACCAATCGATGGCACCTCTCCTTTGGTATTTATTTTCATCATGATCATACGGGATACTGTCTACTGGCTCCTTCGTGTTGAATATCTTCCTTGACACTGTGCCTGAAAAACAGTGGGAACGTTACCTATCTCATCAGAGTCACTAAAAACAGGGTTCCTACCCTTTTTCAAAAACAAATTTCAAGGACTTCTCCAGGACTCAGATTGATTTTTAAGGGCTCCAAATTTCACCATAGACCCTTTTCATTCCCAAGATTTCAAAATTAATTCTCCTTACGGTCTACATAAATTTCTTATAACGTAAATTCTGAAAACTTTATTGCTTGAGTTAAGCAGATTCCCTGGACTTTCCAGGATCTATAGTCTTTTTCTAGGACTTTACAGTCCTAGAAAATGTCAAAATAAAAAGGTTTTCCAGGACCTGTGCGAACCTTGTAAAAATAGTTTAAATCATTTCTTACTCCTGATGAAACCTTTTCTGTAACTCAATATAACTCCCAAGATTTGATTGTTAATCCCCCCCCCTCTAGCTGCTAAACATTTGCTTGTAAATTAGTTATGAGAATTTGGTGTTAGATCAAGATAACAACTTCTACCTGATGACTTTGAGTATTCTCATTTCCTGTTTGCCAAATAATGTATGGACATAAAAGGAAGAAGTTCAGTGTTAATTATTCCTAGGAGTTTAAGAGTTAAGGTAGCAAACATTTGTTTTGTGCCCTACTGTTTGCAATACTAATGTAAACCACATGGCATCAGAAGGTTGATTATTTGGACAACCAAGGAGAAAAAGGTGACACTGAGAGCAACAACAGTAGTATTTCCAAATATTTATCTCATTTTAGCACTTGGCTTAAAGTACAAACCAAGTAATAAACATTTTAAAACAGCTTACAAAATGATCACCAAACGCAGTTCACCAAATTGGTAACTTCTGCTGAAATGGTTTTACATGCCATGGCAACAAAAAAGCTGCAGCTTGGAGCACTATGCTACATCTACTTCCTCTGTTACACCAACAAAGGTCATAATAACATTAAGGAAAAAAAGTTGAACTCACTGGGCTTGTCACCATGTGCATAAGACTGCTGTGGGGGTGGTACCATAGTGTTCTGTTGTCGCACATCTACTACATGATGATCTCTGGTTGATCGCAGTTCTGTTTTAGTACTCAGTGGGGTGGTGTATGGAGGTGACTGACTAGCTGTATGTGAAGTAGAGTTTAGGGTATGGTCTTTTTTTTCATGAGTGGGTGCCATTCTCTGACTGTCTGACATTTGAGCAACTGATGAGAAATATGTACAGTATATAAATTTTAAAAAAAATTTTGACATCTTTTTCCCGCACAATGGATCAAGTAATACAGGGAACATGGTTACTACTGGTGACTGAAGGAGAAAGATTTCTAAAAGTTAAGATTATGGCAAGGCACTACTAAAGGTTTTGCTGTTAAATACATCTGACCTGTCCATGCTCAACATTCAGTAGCACTCAAATCATTTTGAACAACCTGGCCCATGGAACTTACCTGACAACTAACAATTCATTCAGTCAAGAATTGTGAGCATGAAAACAAAATAGCATGCAGAGAATGGAAACATCCATCACAAGCTACTATTCTGTTATTTTGATATTCGATTTTCTCCTGGCCAGGTACCTTAACTAACTGTCATCATATATGTACCAGTATGCCTTGTGGTATACATTTTCACATCATTTTTATTTCAATTTTCCTTCGTGTTAAGTTTTGTTGAAAAATGCAGAGGAAAATTTAAAAAATGAAACTGGTTTGGAAGCTTTCAAACCAAAAAAAAAAAAAAAAAAAAGAGTTACCCTGTATCAAAACTATGACAAAGTTACTTAATAGCTTGTTAGATGATGACCAGGCAGTCACATGCTCATGCTTTGAAAGGTACCCAAAGGTATGCAATTTTTCACCTGTGAGCTGACCTTCATTCTCCTACCCAGGAGAAGATTTGAGATGAGTCTTTGAGAGGTTTGCTGATATGGGAATTATTATCAGTGCTCAACCCTTTGCAGATCTCTTGATAAGACCTCACACTTTCCAGAAAGCAAAGAAATACTTATTTGAATGCTGCTTTGACACAATGAGAAAGAAGAGATTTCCTTGAATTAAGCAATGCAATTGCTGATAACACTTACCAATATCAGCTTCATGTCTTGACACAATACTTTCAGAGGCTGTGGTGCTTGTTGAGCTGGTGGAAGGTACCTGGCAAGTTCACAGTCGAAAAGAGAATCAGTAAAATATCAGACAAATGGTTCCAATCATTTTTTATATCAAGTGGTAAAAGGACCAAAAAAAGTGACAACAAACACCAAGGAACCAACCACAGGAAGCCCAAGACCAACACGGGCCCATGGTGCAGTGGCCAACATCTGTCTCAACTGGTCAGCAACAGGAGAAATTTGATTCTCGGGAGGAAACACTGTTGACTGCAGAAGAAAAGTCACAGTTTATTCAAACAAAATTGCACCTATGATTCACTGAGAAAAAAGCCAGGGAAAACTTTGTAAGTTGAACTCTTTGTGGGTATTGAAACAGCTTTGTTGCCTTGGTAAATGCAAGGTTATGCAACCCTTCTTGTTTCTGGTTTCAGGAGATTTTATATTGTTCATTTGGCTGAGAGTAAATGCTGCTTTTTGATATGAGACAGCATATCACTGAGATTCTTTGAGAGCTGCTTCTTGCAAATTTACATTTACATAGTGTTACCAATCAAGGAGAGAAGAATATGCATCTACTCCTTCATAATTAAGATTTGATTATTGTTACACATGACGCACCTTGCAGTTGGGACAAGAGTAACCAGCTGGAGCAGTGTTTGTTGGAAGGCTTGCAGCATAACTGTTAAGACAAGCCCAGTGGAATACATCTAAGGAGAAATACATAGACTGAAACACTGGAAAAAGATATCCACAAACTAAACAACACAAACATACTTGGCTCTCAGTCTGAAGGGAATTGAGTCAATGCCTCCTCGATACCAGTCAGGAGATACTACCAACTGCAGTATGAAGCCACAAGTTGGGTAAGAAGCAAATTTTAATTTTTCTTTTGTTGTTGTTTACCATAAGTGATCATTTTGTAACTTGCAAATCACCTGCAAGTCAATATTTGACTTTCTATTTTAAGGGTGAGCAAAACCCTTTAAAGAAACAAAGAACCTCCAAGAATTTGCCTTCCTCCGAACATGTAGCTTTATGGCTCAGTTTGAAGTAGGGCCCACTTAGAATCAAGGAGGGCATAACCAAATCACACTTAGGCAGGAAGCAATTTCAAGTGAAAATTCCTTATAAGAAGTACAACGGCAAGGGACCTGTTAGTTTCTTGTTTTATCTGAAGGCCAAAATGATTTAACTGTGGGAAAACAAATCAGAATGCACCTTATATGCAGAAGGAACTTTCACTACAGCTTTGATAACATAGAGGTATATCCATGTCCACTTGAGAATTGTACTTACTATACACATAACAAATCAAAGCAAGTTTTTGAGAAAAATTACCTCTGCCAGCAGAAACTTTCACATTTTCTTGGATTCAAATGCATATTCATGTACTTTGCGTGAAAGATACAACAATGTACCTGAGTTGCCATGTCTTAAGTTTTAATCAAACAAAACAATAAATCAAATTGGCCCCATTGATTCCTAAAGGGAATATCCTACTAGCTTATCAGAGCAAGAAGAGCAAATTATTTAGGTGTATTCTACATTTGGTATGATATTTACAAATATAATAAAGACACCAAAATCTTGGTTACTCACCAAAGCAAATTAATCGAACAACATCTCCCTCAGCTAAACTTCCATTACACAAAGTACAGACTGGATTATAATCACTGTCCTGGAGCCAGTGTAGATATGACTTCACAATACACTTGATCACATAAGAAAAAAAAAATAGAAGAAATGAGATATAATTCCAATAAGTATGCTAGAGCTATCACAAAGAAGTAAAGTATATTATTATTAAGAAAACTACAGATTGTAAGGCCACTGATGTTATCTTAGTATGTTTTTAAAAATGAGGAATAATGCCATAGCCTTATGCTTGAGGAAAAACAGAAATTATAGAAATGCTACAAGAACAAGGAAACACATGATAGTTTAATGTTTGATGCTCGAAGAGATGTTTCAAGGTGGCTCTGTCTTCTGAGGTTTTGGGAATCTTAGGGGTCTTCCAAATCCTTATACAATCAACGTCAGCAAAACTTAGTTTAACTAACTTGTAAAATTCATTCATAATCCTTTTTGTTTTTTGTAACTTACCAACAGAAGTGTACATAAATGTAATGCATATTCAAGAAAGTAACTGTCGATGGCACATGCAGAGCAAATTAAACGAGTTTAACAAAAACAATCACATTTATCTGGTTCTAAATGGAAATAAACCGCTTGTTATCTCTTACCAATTGCATGTCACAACCAAAAACAAATCATCCCTAAAATACCCATCATCGTTACATATTTTTGATGATTCCTCCTGAATATGAACTAAAAACATTATATTGCATCTTGTTTCTTACCCTGGGGTGACTTGAAACAAGACAGTGTTCACAAACATTCACGCGATGTTCGAAGCAAAATTGGGTGGTAACCTTCTTCTTGGGGCATTTACATAAACCCATGACAACTTTACGTCAGTAAGAATTTCACATGAATCCTAAAACGACAATATTTTGGACGAATTTTCCAAAATTTTCTATCTTTTCGCTTGCCACGTCGCCATTGCCATACCTGTGCTATGTAACCTAGCCTTACAAAATGACTTGAGCACCGGATTCCACGATTCTTCGGTTGATGATTTTAGCGGAAATGCCTACATGCCTTATATTTCAAGAAAACAAAAACCATTTTTATCAGCTACGGCGAAAAAATAATCTATTGATGATAAACCTCTGAATTATAAAGATAGATCGGGTGGCCTTCGGTAAAATGGCGAAAGGTAACTTTCCTAGACCTGCCCAGCCTCTTAATGCAAATATCAATTTAAGGTACGCTGACATCCACACCAAGTTGAAACTTCGCGCGGCAGATAGCGGCAAATTTCGATGGAGTAGTAATTTCTCCTTTCCTCGTAACTATGAAATGAACAAAAAAACGTAAATGCACAGTACAAATAGAGAGTTGTTGCTAATGACCATAGGCTCGATTGCCGGCTGCTGTTCGGGAAAGAAGAGTTCAGGAAGATTGAACTCAATAGAGTGAGTGTTTGACCCCCATTCTTGATGAAAGAGGGTCAAATAATCGGGAAGAAAAAGGAGAAAAGTGAAAAAAGTATATTAATTGACAACCGGGAGCCTTAGTTCAGACAAAGTCTAACTGTTTTCTTGACCCAAACGTTTCCGTTACAACATATAGGCTAAAAACCCAGGTATCAACGATTTGTATTCAAGATAAGTCCTGAAGAACACTGTAAGCTTTTAGACAGGAGGACTTGCGGGGGAGATCACATTGTTTCAGGGAAAACGGGGGGAGGGGGGTCAATCGTCGCAAACAGAGTAAAGAGGGGGGAGAGTATAAAACTGGCCTACAACTGAATGCCAACGAGGGAGGAGGGGGTGTCATATGCGTATTACAGAGCCTTTGGGGCTTTGAGGGAGGTCATGTAAATTTTATCATGAAAAAACCTTAACTGGTCGGGCGATAGGAATCGAAAAAGATTGATGGGGATTGCTCATTTGAAAATCACTGTATAATGACCAGTAATGAGTTATTCCTTCCCAAAAGTACTCGCAACATGAAGAATGTACAAACATTCATGGGCATATATTTAAAAACTTCAATGTTTATTTTGTTTGAGCTTTATCAGCTCTTAATGAACTTTTGTCTCGACATGAACATATTTGCATCAAATAAATTATATTCACAAGAATAACTTAAATAAATATTTTGGTTTGAAACGCTTAAAACTGAAATTGTTCCATTAGGAACTAACATATAACTGTACATTGTACTATTTATATAAACAACCTTTGTAAGAGTTGAATTCATTTTCTGCCTCTATTTATGACTCCTTTCATGAGTTCTGCCATCTTTACTTCGACGCGTGCCAAAGTAGTGTTCAATTTTAAATTAAGGCTCGTCTCTTTTTTAATTTAATTCTAGGGCGTTTGACTTAAAACAACCATGTTATGAGTAAAGATGCCATGAAGAGGAGTACATTTGGCACCAGACCAAAAGCAGCCCCCACCGGTCTAATTGCGACTTCCGGTCGGACACATCCCATCCAGTTAGACGCTACATCTCTGGGATAAGGGTTCTCATTATCCTCCAGGAGCTGCACTCTTGCATCGTCGTAAGCGTAGTATTTGTTTCCTTTGAAGAAATATGACCTGCCGTTCTTCCATTGGAATACCGCATTGATATCGTAGGGAACCCCTCTCCACACAGATATATCCCTGGGGTATCCAGCATCCATTTGTAGACTACCAGATGTGCTGCTAAATCTCCAGTATCTTGAGCCCTTAAAGAAGTAGATTTTTCCATTTCGTACCCACTGGAATGCAGCGTCCACATTGGCAAGCTCATCGGGAAGATTAAGTTGCGAGATTTGGGCCGGACCATAAATATATTCTTTGTTGCTGTATACCCAGAATCTAATAAAATAATGTTAGAAAAAACAACAGACCAATTAGATTGTCCAGCGTAAACTTTCGGAGTATTATAGATGTGATACATATGCTCTTGACAGAAACCAGAACACAAACAGTTAAATAAGTTCAAAAAACGTTTCGGAGTAATTACCTAGAATCCTTGAGGAAAATGGTGTGTCCAAAGGGTTCTTGCACTGTGTAAGCTGCATCGATGTTTTCTTCCAGATCGGGCCAATGAGCTTTGATTTCATGAGGGCCAGAGGCACCACCCGTGTCTCTGATTTCCCAGAAATGTTGGCCATTGAAGGCGTAGGTTTTCTTATCAGCTGTAGTTACCATGGCATCAAGTTTGACGTCACTGCAAGTCTTAGGCGTTGGGTCTGGTTGAGGCGCGACCACATCTGGAAGACCTGTGAAAAAATAAAGGCGAAATAACTAAGATGAGGTCGAATGTCCGATGAGGGAACTTCATTGCTTATTTATAGAAATAACAGATAGTTCACTTCCAGAGGAAAATGAAGCCTTATCGTAAAATTGTTCAAAGCATCAAAAGTTTTGAGGAAAGTTTTGGATGTTATTTCTTTCTTACCGTAAAGAGCCTGGATTCCAGCTACGTCATCACTGTCTAGTTTCAGCTTCTCCACGTATCCCGGATAATAAGCAAACATGACAGATGCGGGATGATAAGTGTGATCCAGTCCAAGACTATGACCCAGTTCATGCACGGAGAGCCACAGCAAGTCAACTCCAGCACCATCGTTGATAGCAAACTTGTCTTCATCATCAAAATGAACATCGCCAGCGAGATCTTCCTCTCCTTTTCCTCCCAGAGGAAAGAATGCATGAGCAAGCTCCCCCCCAGGCCCATCGGCTGGCCGGGTATCGCCATGGAAACCTTCCACAAAACTTAATTTTATATCAGGTGTCGCCTCAGGGTCGTCTTCACGCTTGATTGTTAGACCGCTCGCGTTCGACCACATTTCAATGGCTTTAGCAATTGTTTTGTCTACGTCTTCTTTGGCGATGTCTGGTGTATGATTTTCGAGCCGGTAAGTAAGAAACTGTTAAAAGAAGGATAATCGATCCATTAATTGACTGCTTGATTCCAAAACGGCGAGCGCTTTAAAGTTCTCTCCTCGCGCGTCCATCCCTTCACTTGCGAGGATCACCCTCCTTGCTCGCTACGCGCGTCGTAAGGCGCGCCCTTCGCGCGCCCGTCGGCTTGAACCATCATTTAAACCGAATCTGGTCCATTCTATGTTAAATCAAATTCCTACAGCTAAAAAGAGCATTAAGACTAGAAAATCCGCGTTGAAGTCACCGAAACCACCTACGCTGGAAATACTCGCGAAGGACTGAAACAAAGCTTCTAGAAAATAACTTACGTTTTTCTTCCAGGATGTTCCCTGATGAGCCCATCGCCTTTTTCTCTTCGCGTTGTCCGACGGTCCTAAGTCTGCCAATCCACATCTCTTTCGTTTCACAAGCGCTAATGTCCTAGCGTCGGAGATGTCGCCAGTCTCCTTGTAACCAGCAAAACGCTGCATTTTCTTAACGGCCGCTCTGAAGTCTTCCATTGTGGTCACTTTTCCGATTCTGTGATTGGGGCTGCTGAGGTAGCCATACTTAATAAGATAATCCTATCAACAAAAAAAACACTTGGAGAGTTAGTGTGCGTTGTTTCGCGATTCAGATACAATACCGTTGAGCGACCGAGCAAAGGAAAAACCATTCTTACATATGATTGTTCGGTTTTTTAAGTGGGCTTTAGGGCTGCGATCGAGTGGCCAATTTCCTATATTGACCAACCGCGCGTAATTTAGTCTCCAAGAAAAAGCATGTATTATTTCAGCAGGTGTGATGGTGAAGTTATTAAATCCGGTCAAAAAAAGCAAAAAAAAACATTAACTTAAATTTACAGAAGGTAGCTTTTAACACAAAGGCATTCTTTATGCTTCTAAGCTTTCCAAGCTTGACTGTACTCCTAGTTTTAGAGTTTAAGAAAATGAACGACACTTTTTGAAAACGTATTTCGACAGTTCTTCTGTCATCTTTAGTTCTGAATAATACAAAGTTGAATTTAAGTGTGTAACAAAATGCTGATTGGACAAAACAAACAATAGTAACAGAGCAATGCATGCATTTACAAGGAAAGTTTTAAATCAACATGATAAAGTTGATGATTAGGTGAAAGTTTCTCCCATTGAATGTGGATAGCTTCTTTGATTTTAAGTTGAAAAGTTGTGGAAGCGAGATCGAAGAGCAAATTTAATAATTCCGTGAGGACTCGAATAGAACTGTTGGAAAGAAGTCATTCAATTAATCCTGGCTGCGGTATGTACTTCACTGATGATTGATCAATGAATTGAAGCTGTCATCCACTTCATTCACAATGTAATTTTTCACGGGTCGTTGAGCTGAGAAAACATTTTCTAAAGCGAAATGTTAACTTCACTGACGCACACTACTGTTTCGATAATTTTAAAAGAAGCACATCCGAGCAGAATAAACACGCCAACTGTGCTAAGAAATAATGATATCTGCTGTGCCGGAAATTTTTACCAAAGGCAACTTTACGCTAGTATAACTATACAAACAGAGCATTGTAGATTGTATATCTAATCGAACGAAATCAGTTCAGATCGATTCGAAATCATACATCTTTTCAAGGGGAATAATTGAATTTAGGATAAACATATTCATTCACTTACCAAGAGTTCTGACTCTCTCGCAGGTTGTAATTCAGGGTCAACCGACACTGAAGCAATCGGCTTTCCATTTGCAGAGGTTACGAAGCCACTCACGGCCGCTATTACAACTATTAGCGAAATTCTTACTTCCATTATCCAACGTGGTAAAGTTCCGATCAGTTAAGTACCTTCGGTTCTGATCGATTTGCTGTTTCTAGCTGGTTTTAGCTTGATATCTTCAAACGACTGTGAAAACACTTCGCTTTCGCTCGGCTTTTATACGTTTAAACCCCTGTGATGATTGCCCCCTTCTGACGTCCTTATGACGTCACAGGGGCGGACAGCGGAATTCCGTGCCGTAAGCCGCACGCGTGTGTTGTCTTTCCTAGTTCATTCCAAGAAAGCTGCTTCGTCCAAGTTTATTCCAATCAGAAATCCGCATCGCTTTTTAAGGACATGGTACTAAGAAGTCCTTAAAAATCACTTTTCTTTTTAAGAAACAATTCTCGATAACTTACCAATAATGATAAGTGATAAAAATATCAAATCAAACCGAAATAAGACGGGAAAAATCCTCTTGGCTTTTTGAAAACCAACTGGTTTCAAGGAAATCAATCAGGTGTGAAAGCGGAGGACTTTATTACCAGGCTACGAAAACATCTGGTAATCGAAAAGTCACCTTGACTGACCACATGCCTGTGCTTCTCATTCGTCAACATAACTCAGCAAGTCATAACAAACCAGCAAGAGCTGACACTTTTTTTTATCAACTTTGCATACCATACTTTTGCTTTTTGTGTACATTTGCATGACGTCGGGCATAAGGAGTGCAAAAATTTCATTGTCTTTGTTCAAGTTGTAATTGTCTTTATTGTTTGGTCTAAACAAGTCGGGCTCAACCTCATAGAAAGGTTAAGTTTGCTTAAGTGAGTTAGCAAATTCAGTTTTGTTTCCATCAAATTTCCATTAAAGGAAAGCCAAGATGAGTTTAAGGTAGGAGCTGAAAAAACGCGCTTTTTTGCGCTTGAATATACTGCCCACCCGCTCGCGAGGTTTAGCGAGAACGTGTCACGTTATTATGCAACATGTTTTGCATGTCATCAAGTTGACCTGGTTAAGCGTGACCTGAGTTCAATCCGTTTAGCTCAAGTAAAGGGGTTTAGAGACAGAATTACTGTTTACTAATCACCCTTCATTTCATGATACCCAAGTTCAAATTCTCTTGCATCGCGAGAAAGGCCCGCTGCTGATTAATAACAGTTCGACCCTAATATCGCTTAGCACTTTCTCGATATTTTCAAACTTAATGCACGAGTCAAAATTTAAGTTTTCATTTTACTCAATGCACCGTGTAATTTTATGAGATTTTAAAAGTTAGCGTTGATAAACAAGGCTGCACGGAAAACTTGTACGTGATATGGGGTAAAGATTATGATCTACGACGTTATTTCCTTTGTCAGTTTCTTTAACTCAAGTCACGAGTAACACGTGTCCAATATAAGTATATCATAACGATCGTTGTAAGATATCACTGCTGGATAATATTCCACGTTAAACATTTCTTTTTTTTAAGGTTGAGCAGAGACAAATTCAGATTGCCTTGATCAGAGCGCTGAGATGTGACCATTAAAGCGCGTATCACAAGTATTTTGGCTGCTGTTGTTTTGCTAAGTTCTTCAATTCCACTGTTTCTATTAATTTGCTGCGGCGATTACGGTGATAAGATTTGGGTCAAAAGAAAACTCAGTCGAAACAAAAAGGTTATTAACCTTTGGCTGATCAATTAGTCACATAATTTTTTTTAAAGAAAGCTTTGATTAATTTTGTTATAGCTATGGCATCTGGTTTAACTGATACAGTACGTGCGGTGCTTATGCACAGATATCCAACCATGTGAATATGATTTTTAATAATCATGATCTTTGGAGTTGTGTCTCTTAAGCAGTCACCGCAGTTAAACCGTGACCAGTAGTAGGGGTCTCTCTGGAAGCCATATAATTCCGAAATGTATGTGTCATTTAGTCTAAGTGTTCATATCATTTCCGGATGGAACACGTTCACCTTGTGTGAAAACAAAAAACTAAAATAATTTTTGAAATCATGCTTTTGTAAACTGATCAACAATATACAAAATACAATACTGGATCACGTTCGATACATTGCTCGCTAGCATTGATAAAATTCCTGTAAAATGGCATTCTTGGTCTCAATCACGTTCAACAGGCTATTGACACGAACTAATTGAAAGTTATCGGACCGCATACCAGTCTCGCTCTTGTTGAGACTGATTAATCTTCATCATACAAACCCTCTCGGAAATGGCGGAGTACGTTGTCCGACCGCAACAAGATCATCGTTAAGTACGATATGTGGTTTTTTAAGAATTTTGTTATTGAATTTATGGAATTATCTTGGATGAATTTACAGAATTGGTCTTGTGGGACTTTACTTTTGAATATTTACCCGGTTCATATCAACTAATTTTCAAGAAATAAGGTCATCATAGCAATTTTACATTTAAATGAGGAAAGTGACAAAATTAGTTCTTTTCGTTGGTTTGAACACCATCACCACGAATTCTGCTGACACAACACGTGGGAAGTTTTCCTCCCATAAATTGATCATTACGTCTTCCAAAGGAATTAAATCATTTGAATGTCATAATTTGAAACTTTAATTTTAAAGAAAGGTGTTATTTATTTTGTTGCGAAGGGAAGACAAATAATCTTAGTATCCCTAAACAAAAGGTAGGCATTCGGATTTCGCACCCCAATTCTGGTCGTGGGTGGGAGATTAGAATTTGTCATGCTTGATCAGACTCTCCTTGCCCCCATTCTTCGGACAAAATGAATTTTCTTTGTTTAACTGACCAAGCCCAAAATTTGTCATCTCCCTTATTCTATTTTGAGACATTTTCACATTTGTGGTAGCTGTTTTCGGAATTTAACATTCTCCCAACCCAGCTGATCATCCTTTAAAACTGTAAATGCCCATATGTTCATGTACTTTAACTGTCCATGTGGTTATTCATTTTCTGTTTATTTTAATCCTGTTTATTTATAGTTTAATACGATTAAATTTCGAAAAAAACTGATAGGGCAAGGAAAGTACTTAGTAGATTTCTTTTCAAGTTGGCACTGATAAGCTGCCGCAAATGTAAAAAAAAAAAACCGTATTTAATAGAATACTTTTGACATAGTGAAAGCCGTCTGAAACGGAAAAGCCCTAGTATTTGCATTCAAGGCTGAAATTTCTATCAGAAATCAACTGCTTGTTGAAAGTCTCCGATGTGGGAGGTCTTTGGCGATGAAAACTGACTCAGCTCTCTTAAATTGAAAAACAGGAAGACGTGACAACTTTTTAAAACTGGTTTGTTTTGTTTTGATAATCCGACTCTTTGGGCCTCTAAATATTTGCCTTCAGGCTTCGGACATGTAAACCGTTCTGATGAAGGGGCTCGAAACTTTACAGAAAATTCCCGAAATTTGCATTAAATCAAATTTAACGTTTTCTCCGGCTCGAGGCCGTGTATCGACGACACTGTATTTGAAATATTGACTTCCCAGACCGACTGTCTCAATTCTAAGTAATGATCAATCTTAACGTTGTGCTTAGCTTTGAGATCGTTATCCGATACTAAAATATTTAGAAACTGGTGTGAAATAGCGCTGGAACCACGGTGAATAATTAGGAAACCTGCTGATGACTTTGGCAGTTTTCAGCTCTCCGCTGAGAATGCCATGAACACGAGAATTATTGAAAGAAAAATTGAAGTCATGAATTATACACTGTTATATCAAAAACCGGAAACTCTAGAACAGTTAACAACAGTTCAGGGAAATAGCGGTTTCTCGTTCAATAACTTTTCTAACTTCGGTGGTTTATGGTCATGGTTTGTTGTTGGTAACGCTTGCCAACAGTGGGTGGTTTTCGCTACCATATAAGGCTCGATCAGTTCACTTTAACAGAGACATAGGGTACACCTCCCACTTATGGTGGTTTTCCGTTACTTTGCCACAGAAAATCTTGTAAGTTATCGACAAATTCCTTTTTTAGTTGTTACTGTTGTAAGGAAGGCGCTTGAACGCACTGAAGGAACTCGGAAAGCTTAAGTAAGCTCGATAGTTATGCTTTCGAGAACCTGATCAAATTGCGGAGTAATTAAGTCACGGGTTCCGTTTTTAAGACCGACATGCCTTTTTAACGTTTCTCTGAGAGAACTGTTCAACTAAGGTAGTTGAATCCTAGTTACATCGACTTAAATATTGAGAGTAAAGAAAATTCAAGGGCCTCGTATTACCTTCCAACGAAGAGAAAAGCTGTAAAACAAAAACCAGGGAAGGTTAAGAGACTTGGTATTCAATTAGAGCGATTCATTAATTGTCAAATCAATCCAGTTTAAGATGATGGGGAAAGGTGAAGCACCAATTAATGTCATCTATATCGACTTTGTTTTCCGAGTTTGCCTTTCTGCTTTTTTCCCTTTATGCTCAAAATCTTAGACACGTTTTATAGTGCGGGTTATTATCCTTAATATCTGGTCTTATCTAGATCAGTCGGCCTGAAGATTGATTCAATTCATCGACACTTCATTCCACTGAATGCACGTAATTAAAGTCAAGCTCATTTACCCTTGCCAAGTTTCGAAAATGTCGAAAGTACATCTAGCGTTTTTCAAGGCCCACGCGTGATAAATATCAAGTTTCTCATTTCTTGGTCCATGATATTCAACCAAAGTTTATTTACCCTGACCTGGCGACACTTATTGACGAATATTGGAGGTCAGTGACGATAATATTGACGGGGAACCAAACTTTGCAAGACTGTGCGCGTAATATCAAGTTGAAGGACAATTATATCCGGTAGTCTATAATGTTCCAGAATGAGGAAAATATACAATAAATTCTTCAGTTTTCGTCGTGTAATGAACAGATTTCGTCTTCATTTAAATATAGCCAGAATAATCTTAGAAACTTTGCGAAAAGTTTGGACTTAAAAGGGAATGTTTTCATTGGCCAGAAACCAACGTAACACAGCCGCTTTAGCAGTTCACTGAAACGCATTATATTCCATTTGTATCCTACACGAGCACGAAGTATGTGTCTGAAAAAAAAAAAAAAAAACAGATTTTGTCGGCTGAATATATCACAACAAAAAAAAAGACTCAACGAACGAGGGAGCTCTGCTTTACCATTAAAGGTGTTCACATGATCATCGTAAACCATCATTGTTGTATTACGGTGTTAGGGAGACACTAGTCATCTCCTTTGGGGAGCGGGGAGATCGTTAAACGTCGTTTAAACAGCAATACGATGTAAACAGGCCTTATTCGTATGTTAGTGAAGTGTTCGTGGTTTTAGTAAGAAATGTGGTATGGATATGTTATGAAAAAGTGAATTATTAAAGAATTCTGCGTTTTATGAAATATATCACGTTCGTGATCATTAAAAGTCGTCGAAGTTTCCGTGACGCATTGGTTTGTTCCAAGCACAAACATTTTAGCTTCCTTAGCTTCTAAGCTAATATACGATTCACCTTGCCGTGACTTGTTGCGGTTGTGTAAAACGGAAATTTTAAAAAAGATTGTTTCTTTGTTGTTTTCCTTTTTACAAAAGAGGACTCACGTGAACTTTAAAGTCGTTGGTCTGCTCGGAGCTCGAACAGCTCGGTACCTGCTTAAGCTCTTAAGCAGATATTATTTCGCTAAGCCACCACGTGCACATTTTACAGTTGCGTCAAACGGAAAATTAGTTAAAAAAACGTTTCTTACGTCTTTACGGTTTTCCTTCTTTCCGAAGAGAACTCTGACTAAACATTTTACACGTCTTTACAGTTGACAGTACTGTTACTCCCTGTTGACTTTGACGTCAGAATTGTTTTGAAGAGATTCAATGACTGTCGGTGTTGGCCGACAACATTCTTTTGCGAAAGACTGATGTTTACACAATTCGAGTTCATGGCGTACAGAACACAGTTGTCAAAAATTCTTAAGATGAGTTCTTGTATGTACTGCGAATAACAAACTGGTTGAACTCAGTAATAGTGTTATGTCAACTTTGTACTGTTACCATGTCGATGTATGGTATATTGAACATTTTATTTTGTTGAATTTTTTTCAAAGTAACCTTTTTTCTATTTTGTACTTCGGGTCGTGCAGTCTACAGAGTATTAACATTTGCCACTTAATGTGCAAGCATGTCCGAAAATCGTGGTGTACTCTCATGTAACCTCATCTAGGACATGTTCAGCCTGGAGCACCAATGCAGTGCAAAAATATATGAAAAATGTTTTTCAACGGCCGAGAACCGTTTATATCGTTAATGAGACAATATACAATGGCGTTATTAGCTGATGATCTCCCGAATCGAACGTCGTCAACCGCTTAAGCTGACATCGGCTGACTATTTTATCTAGATATCGAAGGAATCTTCCAACTGAAAGAGAGGGAATTAATTTGAGCTGAAAACCTATTATAGCTATGTATTTAAAACACACCTGAATTAGCTTCATTCGTAAGTTTTCCTCTGTTTTTACGGTGATATAAATTTGTCCCTCAAGATAGTCTTTCTTTATTAAAAACAATAGACCTGAGGTTCACTGAGAACAGTACAAATTAAAATTGTTTTGACCGAAGGGTGCGTGGAGTAAACGAGTTGGAGTACGCTAAGCCCATTGGTTTCTGCTCTCAGCGCGTTCACTGCGCATTAACTCGTTTTTCGAGGGCTAGCTTCCCTTCGCGTGGGCTCCTCGTCTTCCTCGCAAGTTAAAATCTCGCGCGCATAACGCAAAAAGTAGGCTGCTTTTCTTTAGTGACTGAATTCCGTGATTCTGAAGTTTGTTTTTTCGTTTATGTACAGTGCTCCAGATTATTTTAAAAGAGTAGATTTGTAGAATGAAGTAGATCAATATCGTTTATGACATGATTTTGATCCAAAAGTTATTCGTACAGGTGAATTTGATTTTTTACTCAGGAATGTCGAGTGCTTAAATTATGTGGCACGATGAAATCTAATTTAGGCTCTCTGTACCAGAACTATTAATTCTAAGTAACATCCGGTCGTAACTGCTAAGTCATTGCTATAAAACCACAAAAAGTTTGGATTCAGCCTTGCAAATGTTTTAAAAAAAAACGAAGGAAATCTAAAATTAAGTCTGCCTCATTGTCCGATTGTTTCCGGGTTGTCGCCTCTCATCGAATTGTTGAATTTTAAGAAAACATCACGAAAATGTGTCTGGTTTTTATCTTGCCATGTTTTACATTACCAACTGATTTCTGTCAGAGCATGCCTTTTTTTCAGTTAATAAAAGGCGAGAGTTTGCAACCAACACTGACACAATCATAAAAAAGCCCATCATCGTCGAAACACGTGACCTAGTTTGCGATGCTAGTTCAAAATGTTTTCGCTTTTCAGTTTACCATTTGTTGATAGTGGTTCTTTAAATCCGGGAAATGAGAAAATGTTCAAACACGGATTTAGATTATGCAAGTGTATGTTTTAAAGCTATATAATTGAAAACTCATGTCTCAGGAATGGATTTCTTGTTCAATTTTACTACGATACTTATGGGAACATTTTGTCTGAGTCAAACGTATTCAGCTCCTCCTTGCATTGTTACAATTTAAGTTAGAAGCGATAAAATTGGATTTACAGCGCAGCTGACACAGCTGGGCACTTAAAGACATAATCATGATCCAAACTTATAGCAGGAAATTTTCACTGAAAAGGCCACGATACAGGAAATAAAGTGAAGCCGCAGAAATAAAGGCAAAAGACTAATGTCCGTGGTTTGAAAATGCTAATTACTGAGACTTTTTATCTCAAAAAGTTTCACATCGTAAATTTTTAAACTCCGACCAACTAGGGAGCCATGATAAGCCGGCATCATCACAGAATCCAACGTTAAAATATAACATTTCTACGAAAAGACTGCCCGAAGGTTACGTGACCTTATTTGGAAGATGGGAACTTTCCTTTCACGATATGGAACTTTCCGGGCAAGTATGATGTCTTATGCGAGTTCGATTGGTGCTCGCTCAAGCTTATTCAAAATCCAAGCAATTCAAATGGACAAGCTGAACACAGCTATCCCTCGCGAAGGTCTGGTCATTGATTCATCATTTCCAATATCCGATGGACAAAAATCCTAGTTTGCTTCCCAGCACGAGAATATGTAGTTTAGTTTTGTATTTTTTGTTAAATCAACACAACTCTTATCATCGGAGAAATGACAGTGGAATCATTGATTAAAAATGCCTGGAATTTATTTTCGGTACTTTCTCAGCGAAAACAAAACAATATCATGCGGTCAAACAAGTATTACAAGAATATACATGAAAGCTAATTTTTAATTTTTCAGTTTTTTTTAGGACGGAATAGATAACATACAACTATATAACAAATTCGATAATATTTGTTCCAAGTTTTTAAATGCTATACACAAGAATATACATGTTATTTTACATGGACTCAACTAACTTGATTTTCAAATTTTCTCACTAAAGTGAAGAAAATGTTACATGCATGTGTGAGTAATTAAATATCTGTAGTATTAGTGAGATGACGTCCTCGAAATGTACATCAGAATATTTTCTTAGGAGTAATTTTTTATCTATTTGTTTTCCTATATTCTTTGTAGAGCCACTCCAGAGAGTTTTATTACAGTTCTCAAACCTGAATCTTTCTCGAACTCCTGTTGTTCATATCTCCATTGAGCTCAGCTCACTACTGATAAAGTCTTAACCAAGTTAGCATGCTTCCCAGCAAGACAAGAGTATTCGGTAAAACAGAGAAGGAAGACGATCTCCCAGGGGAAATCTTTCCCCTGATAAGTCCCTCTTGGCTACATCCCATCCAGTAGGCGGAAATATCCTTGGGATATCCAGAATCAACCCGTGGTCTTCCTCGACGTTTCAAAGCGTAATAGCTCTTCCCTTTCAAGAAATATGTTTTGCCATTCTTCCACTGTAAGGCAGCGTTCAGATTACTCGGAACATTAAGCCAGGCTTTGGAGATTTTCTTGGGGTACCCATAGTCGACCCTTCGTCGATAAAAGTTATAACGCCAATAGTCCTCCCCCTTGAAGAAATACATGCGCCCGTTCCCAGCCCATTCGACAGCGGCATCCATGTTGTACAGTTCCTTCGGAAGGCCCATCCCACCATCTTTATGTGGAACAGTGATGTCTATTGGTCCTCGTATTAAGCGTTTGTTCTTTAAGATCCAGAATCTGTTAAATAAAACAAAAAGGTATCGATTATCATCAAAATTTTCCTTGTGAAGAATGACAACAGCGAAAACTAATTCAGATTGTAGGAATGATTAAGCCATTCATTCCGGCGGAGATAAAGTAATCTGTCTAAGTTAAGAAGATAAATGATTTGCATACATTTTAATTGCGATTTTTCACGCAGGGTGCCACTGTTTAAATCGCCTGAAGGACATGTTCTTGAGGAGATACTGTAATTTGATCGAGCTCCACTGGACGATATCCTCCTCGTATAACCAACGGGCGCAAAGGATTATTCACCTCTTGCATAACATGCAAGGTTTTTACTGTATGAGTATTTCTATAGATTTCTTTCCAGTTGAGTGTCGCTACTGACCGAATAAGTCAACATGCAACAGCCTGAGACATGGCAAATCATGAACGATCAAGGCGAGACTGGCCGTAGTTTTTCGTCTCTTTGGTCGAGAATATGGCGCAAATTTCTCAACTAATCACAAAGTGTGAAGTAAAGCAAAATCATGGAAATTAAGGGTTATTCTCGACTCTCAGTTGAAAACTGATGATTTATTAACTTACTTTGTGCCCTTGAAAAAGTATGTCCATCCATTGTGTCGTCTGGTAACTGCAGCGTCGATGTCATCCTCTAGTCCTGGCCAATGGTCTTTTATTTTCTTAACTTTACCAGCCCCTTTATCAGAGACCTCCGTGAAAAACGCGCCGCTAAAAGCGTACGTTTTCTTGTCTTTTATCATAACCATGGCGTCAAGTTTTTCCAGGGAACAAAAATCTGGTATCCCAAGAGGCTGTGTAGGATTAGTGTGGGGAGTAGGAGTGACAAGGTCCACTTCTGGTTTACCTGATGGAAATAAAATCGTTAAAAAAATGTCACATCGACGAAAGTGAAGATGGAAAAAAAAATCAAAAAGTGTTTCCAAATGTGATGAAAAGCTATGTGATTATAGCCAATTTGTTTGGGCACAGGTAGGAGATAAAAGCTTGGGAAAGAAAGATTTTTTAAAAATATTTAATTTCGAACGACCACACAACTACCATCGTGGCTAAGAAGGTTTTTTGTTTGTTTGCATTAACCCGCTGATAATCTTACGTCTACAACTTGCTACGTCGATTGATGGTAGCAATCACCACAACAACATACTTGCCTTACCATCACATCACAAGAAAAGTGTTTCCATTTAAAAGAAAATTGACTATGAAATAATAATGGCAATAATCATGATATCGATGGCAAAACAAAGGTGTATTGCCCACCAGCACTAACAACGTTAAGATGTGGTCGAGTTAAGACAGGTCCTTACCATAAAGCTGCTGAATTCCTTCCACATCGTCCTTATCAAGTTTCAGACCTGGAGCATAACCCAGATAAAACGGGAACATGACAGAGTCAATGTGCCAGGAATGGTCTAGTCCCAGGCTATGACCGAGCTCGTGTAGCGAGAGCCAGTTGAAATCCACTTTGGTTGGATTACCATTGATATCAAATTCTTCATCGTTATCAAAATGAAGATCGCCTGCCAGACCTTAAAGGAAACATCAATTGTTAAAACAATTCGACTACTTGCAGCCGAACTCTTCCCTCAGGGAGACACGTTTCTTCTTGGGGAATGGAGGGGGGGGCTATACGACAGCTATAAAGCGACTACCTGTGGTGACAGTTTTTTTCTTTGCATACATCGATATATCGAGATAAATCACGGAAAATGGTTGAAAGGCAGACATCATTTCGAATCAGTAAATTTGAAAATTCTTTGAAGTTTAAACACACCTTTGTTATCGAGAGGAAAAAATGCGTGTGCCAGCTCTTTCCCGGGCCCATCCGCTGGTCTGCTGTCTCCGTGGTAACCAGTCACAAAACTGATCATAATGTCTGCTTCTGTGTTATTATCAGTTATGCGTTCGAACTTTATTTGGCTGACCGCTGACCATGAATCCAGAGATTTCCTGATTGTATCGTCGACTTCTTTAACTTTAAGCTTGGTTGCTGATGGGTAGTTGACGATTCTGTAGGTTAACAGCTGTTGGGAGAAATTAAGAAATATTTTTATCATATTAGTGCCAGAAATAGTTTAGCTCTAGTTTAATTTATATAAAAAAAGCCCTGGGTAGTCAACTTTTTAAGTCCGGGTGAACCAAAGTTAAGTGTTCTAGCTCAGCAATCGGTTTTTATCTTCCCTATTCCTAACTATCCTTTTTCACTCTTGGGTTCATATGGCATTTTTTTGTGATTTTCTTCCCTACTGAGCAGCAGGTGAAACGAATTAACGAAGAGTTTTTAGTCAGAGGATGTCATCTCGACATAAAAGCAAATCATACTTTTAACTGCTCAACAAGAAAATGCATAACAGCTAAAGATGAGAATGAGACATGGATCCTAGGAATCCAAGGGTTAGACAGTTTTGCACCATGACGTCACAAAAATGACTTAAAAACTTTTACAGGGGACGCCTTTTGAGGGATAGATACAGTGGTTATAAGATTGTGTTCATACAGATAGTAATACGTACCTTTTTGTTCCATACCGTTCCGTGCACAGCATATCTTCGCTTTCTCTTGGCGGTATCCGATGGCCCAAAGTCTGGCACTGCACAACGCTTTACGTCCACCAGAGCCGCAGTGTCAGGGTCCTGAAGACTTCCGGTCTCTGCCAGTCCCCTCATGTGTTGGAGATTTTTCACGGCCAATGTAACATCGTCGTTGGTAAGATCTTTTTCTAGTCTGGGATCGGGTTGATGCAGATATCCATACCTTACCATGTAATCCTTCGGGAGAAAAAAAAAAGAAGTAAATGTGTATGAACTTATAAAGGCATATGAAAAGAAGTAATTTTAAAAAGTCTAAATGACTGATGCAAAAAAAGAACGCTAGTATTAGGGGCGCGCATGGGAAAAAGGAAACTTCTCTTTTTCCACGCGCGTGTTTCTCTCTCTCATGCGTGCGCTGATGGGAATTCATAAGCGCGATCTTTTCTCTAGTGCAAACCACTCAGGGTGAATATGTATTTGCTGTATATTATGAACACAATATAATAACCTAAAATTTCCATTTGCATCGACATTGGAAATGTATCATAACTGTGCGGCATACAAAACTTTTTATCCCCTGTAAATAGGTTCGCAGTCTCGTAAGCTTTCTCTTCATACCGTCACAGCAAATTTCCCTTAAAGCAAATGGAAAGGTTTTTTTTTTCCCTTTCAGTTAAGAGACTGAGATAATGAAACAGGACCGTAAGTTCGTCTGAAACAGAAACAATCTCGAAGAGGAACCCTGCAGAAATTAGTTCAAAAAATAAAATAAAATATCGCAGTATTAGTATCTAATGATGAAAATATAAAAAAGGGGAAAAATTGAAATATCCCAGTTTGTTAGGTGACTCCATCGGTTCAAGCCAAACTCTGTCTTGGTTTCGATCGGGTCACTTCCGTTAACAAGTCTGCGGAAAATTCCAAATGTCTTTTATGATAACCTTTTTTGGGTTTTGTGGAAATAATTAAAACATATTCAGTCGACACAACGGGAATTTTGCATGTCAATTGATGCCGCAAAATGACAACATTTCTGCCTGGAGGTGGCAATCAATTTGAATTGCGGAAGCTTATGTTCTCATGTGTATTGCAGTGCCACAATAAGCTCAAAGGAAACTTACTGGGAGATGTTATTCTTGATTCTTGCGATTAAAGTGTTATTTATAGTTATTCATTTATTGTTGATAGAGTCGCGTGCGAATTGCGAGTCGAGGTTTGCATACCATCACAGTGGTAGATTGTGAACACTTCCATCCCTTTCTGTGCTATCGTGTTCTTTCGATGTTTCACAAACTTGGAATTTAATGAGGAAAAGTGAGTTTTGTTTGAGCATTCCTTGCGGTAGATGAGTGCAACTTGGCGTCAATTACTCGTACGTGATAGGCGAAGTTGAAGGAGAAACCACCGAAGGATTACACCGCTAACAATTTACAAACGATAGCTTTGTGTCGCAGATAAAATTTCTAATGTTCCTAAGAAGCCAGTAGTTGCAATACAAATATCATTATCAGGATTTACACGTGCAATATAGGCGACAAAAAGAGTTTATTCCCTGATATATATAATACGAAGTATTAAGATTTGAACTCCACTTACCATAAGCTCAGCCTGTTTTCTAGGACTCACAATAGCTTTCCCATGCACAGACGCATTTAGGGTGCAAAGAGCCAAAACTGTAAGCAAAAATCGCCCCATTGAGGTCAATAAAAGAATACAGATAATATTCTTGTGGTCTTCTCAGCGATCGATGGCGTCTCGGTTACTTTGATAGCTATCCCATACCGTGTTTATATATGTTCTAAACGACCTACTCAAATATCGCAGTTCCTGTTAACTCGCCCGAATCGCTTTACGTCACCATATAGGCGTGACTGATGACAATTTGAAAGTCTAAGTGTCTGAAGCAGCGGCTAGTTACGTAGTCATAAAACATATGCGACTCAGTTCAAATGCTCAAGATTTTGACGACTAGTATCACTGATTATTCTTTCATTAGTCGAACAGGCGTTAATTTTTTTGAATCTAATTAGTCATCAGCGTGTCACCCCAAATTATTTGACTAGCACTTTTACCGATGCAAATCTGTCGTGATAGTTTGTGCCGGATGCGGGTCATTTGTACAAACTCGAGTGTTTGGATGATGCCATAAATGGAAATCGATTTTTTATGGCGTCGTCGGTAAATTGCGTAAGAGGATTAAACACCTTCTGTTGCTCAACGGAAAACGTCGGTGAAGATGAACCTTGATAAGATGCGCTGAGTGACTCACTCTGCGGGCTTTGTAAAGTTTAATATGGAAATCACGCTTAAGCTACCACTATTCCGTGTGTATTCCCATTTTATAAACTATGCATAATATAAGAGGAAAGTTCACAATAACAATACAGTAGTAAGCTATAAATAGTCTGATAGGAAAACAATAAAGCACTCTTAGCTAATTTTAATCAGTAATTCGGATAGTTGAGTTCATTCAACTACATACAAACGAATTGCTTCCATCACGAAGCCAACCTGTTTATTTCTTAATTCTCTTAAATACACACATAGTGTCATCTTTGTTAAACACGGCTTGTCATATCTTAGTCACCATTCGTCGCCGCTTTCAATATTGCGATATAATTGTTTCCGACAAATATCTTAAACAATAACAATAGCCTGGCTTACAATATCAATAATTCAACAACTTATTTGGCGATGCAGTGAAGCATGCCTTCCTTATCAACGGAAGTTAAGTCCTTGTGGATCGGCCTGAATAATGAGCTACTAACAATTACTCATTCCTCCTTTTGTCATGCAATATAATTCCCAATGTTACAGAGAAACAATCATTAGGTGGTTCGATTTCCCATGACAAATTGAAGTAGAACCTATCTCGCATTTTCTCGTTCAATATTTGCCATAAATAACACTCGTACAGCTGACATGAACAACACCTCGATCTCCTTGCTTTTTGCCCACGCATTCAGAAGGGAAGTCACTCACGGTTTAAAACTTTCTAGAAATAACGCAACGCGTATGACTTTTGAAAATCTTTAGTAAATCGTTTTTATCGAAAAAAGCAGCAGTATGGGTTAGCTAAATCATATCAACATCTAAGAAGCCTGAACAAATTTATTGAGGAAGTCAACTTTTAAAAATGATTTATTTAAAGAACGAGAGAAATTTTCGATTTTTTTGTTTTTCACTGTGGCCACTGCAGGTGCTGATCACAGCAGACTTGATGTGGCATACATTATTTAAAACTTAGTATAACTAGGAATGCTAGAGGTGCCTCAACTCCGTTTTTATCTACGTCCTTAGCTCTTTATATCATAATTATGTTAACAAGCACCATTAATTTCTCGGCGGATATTCCTTCCACAAGCAACAAAATTTCCATAACAACTCCAAAGTGAGTCATTTTACCGTCTGGTGACCACCCTTTTTTTTTTTGGCCATGAACTTATGGAAATTTGAGTTCTATATTATGACAGTTCTACTTTTCTAAGGACAGAAACAGCAGCCTTTGTATGAAATGGACAAAAGTGGCGGCTTTAATTTGACTTTTCAGCTATAAAACAAAAATACTAACCATTTCGGCCTGCGCCGAAATGGGAAATTTGAGAGTTTATGTAATGAGTGATTGTCTCGGTTCGCTTAGACGCGAGTAACAGTTTCGTGATAATTATTTTACTTGAACAGTTTGTGTTAATTTCAAAAGAGTGAAAAATTATTGTAGATAAATGAGTTTAAAAAAAGTGTCCAATAAAAATTGTTTGGAAGTCGTTTTTACAGATGATATGACATTTAGCTTTGGGGCTCTAAGTGTTAGACACCTTTATTCTCTATTTTGAGCTTTGAATAATTAGTTAAACATTCCCACCTGTCCTAGTGTTATCTAACCTTTTCTCCTAAAAATCGCGTAGGCATAACATTATCCCGCAAAGGGCAATACAACATCCTGCCTGTTTGAGGTTCCCATTTTTCTTTCAAGAGAAGCGGAATTGACATCATGAACGACTTCTATTGTAACGAGTCTTTCCAGTATTATCCCTCCAACGTCGATTTCAAAGATCTGCGGTCAACCATTATCGCCAACTGTATCTTCAACAGTTTTCTAACTCATACTGCCATCATGTTGAACATTGTGACAATTTATGCGATACACACAGCTGCAACAATTGCAAAACCTTTAAAAACGATTCTTCTGCACCTCGCCTTTTCTGATGTGGCTGTCGGTTTCTTATGTCACCCAGTTTACACTTCACTTCTTGTCAAGTGGTTACAAATGGAGAATCCAAGCTGTAACGTTTACCGAATCCTAAGTAATTCTGGCCATTTATTAGCAATTGCGTCGTCTTTAGGTGTTGTGGTTGTAAGTATGGACAGGTTCTTAGCTGTTCATCTTCACCTTAGATATCAAGAGCTTGTGACTCACAAGCGTGTTCTTTATATGGTGATCTCAATATGGGTGTACAGTATATTTGTTTCTTCAATGACATTGTGGGGGCTGCGTAGCACTCGAGATGCCATTGGTTTAGCTACTGCAGCTATTGGCTTTATTCTCATATTTGTATTCTATATCAAGATTTATCTAACTGTCCGAAGGCACAAGAATCAGATACAGTCCATGCAAATACGAGAGGAAGCTCAGTCAGATGAGATAAAAAAATTTGCTGCCCTCATTAAATCTACGATTAGTATTTTCTACGTAACTATCGTGTTTGCAGTTTGTCATCTGCCTTTTCACATTTGCTTGGTTGGTTTTAGAATCTATGGCTCGAGCATTGCTTTGAAAAAATTTAATCTTCTCTCAGTGACCCTCATCTTTCTTCATTCATCACTGAACCCTGTCATCTACTGTTGGAAGATGAGAAATGTTCGACACGCTATCATAGACATACTTCACAAGATGTCTCGGAGCAGAAGTCAGCCACCCCGCCTAATTTTCAATCGGTCTTCAAGGGTCGTTCCTGATAATTACTGAACGCCTTTCTTTGTAATGCGTGACAGATTTTATGACATTCAAGTTTCAGGCTACTAAGTGTATGGCATCATTAATGTCTGTTTTATAATTACAAAACTAGTTAACATCCCGAACTTTTAAAATGTTGACTTAAGCCATACTTTTCAAAATGGTGTATACCTTTGTATGAAGTTAACAACAGTCGAGCTCTATTGAGCTTAGGATCATCACGTTTATGAAAGGATAGCTAAAGGGTAATAATTTAAGAAGGTAGAGTCAGTGATCCACTCGTGTCAAATTTCCAAACAAAACAAATACCGTAAATATTAGCATAACAATATGTAGCTATCTGAAGTTCCCAGTTTTCATACAAGAGGTAACGAGTTCAATTCTAAGCAGTATTATCCCTCCAGTGTCGACACAAGAGACCTTCTTTCAACCATGATAGCCGACTTCATTTTTAACAGTTTTCTTACTTATACCGCCATCATATTGAACGTTCTGACAATCTTCGTCATACACAAAACTTCAACAACAGCAAAAGTAGTTGAACCTTTCCTTTCTGATGTGGCTTGCGGTTTATTTGGTCAACCATTTTACACTTCACTTCTTGTTAAGTGGTTACAGATGGAGAATCTAAAGTGTAACGCTTACCTGATGCTGAGTATTTCTGGAGTTACATTTATAACTGCATCGCCGCCTGGGGGATGTGAAGCACTTATGATGCCATTGGCGTAGTTAGTGCAGCTGTTGGCTTCATTCCCACGTTAATTCATATTCCACATCAGGATATAACTAATTGTACATCGCATGTATATCATTTTTTATGCGCCTTTTCAAATTTGCTCGGCTGATCATCAGATTCTATGGCTCAAGTATCGCTCAGAAAAAACTTTTTCGCCTTTGAGAGACTCTGATCTTTCTTAATTCATCTTTAAACCCGGTCATGTATTGTTGGAGGATGAGACACATTCGACGAGGCATCATAGACGTACTATGGAACTTGTCTCGCGAGAGACATCCATGCCGCTGTAATTACAATCGGTCGTCCAATGTTGTCCTTGCTGATAACTGAACCCTTGCGTGAGACTAACATGACCTGTGTGCAATTTGTTTTCAGCGGGTAAAAGGTGACAAACCTAAGAGTATCTACCCGTAAGATACTGAAGCCAAACAACGATGGTATACAAATTATTAATCGGGAAAGATGGAATTCAAGTGAACAGTAATGCTAGATTTATTTTCGATGGACAGTGAAGTGAAATTGTTCTTGATAAAAATAAAAGTAGAAGCAAGCATATCATTTTCTATATCAACTTTTAGCGGAATACAACCAATCGAACAGGGCGCTTGAGAGCTTTGAACGAGGAATTAAACTCGATGTAGGGCTCCTTAATCTCCTGCCCGTCCCCCTTTGCTCCGCCGAATTGTTTGTCAAATTTGTTGTAGAGAGACAAGCGCAAAAAGATAGGCTCCCTCTGCGTGTTTGCACACTCTTTTCTAATTTCAGATGGTCGCAAAGGATAATAGTGCTTTTCCTTCATTTTTCTAATAAAATCTTCCAAGTGAGACCAACTTTTCGTAACTAATGTTTTGCGCTGTTGATCATCGCGCAATCTCTTTTCTATGTTTTATAACTTTCAACCTAGTTCTTTTCCCTACGAGTATAAACAAAAGGACGGCGGATTCGTGTAGGTTAAATGTTATAAACAGAATATAATCCATGCATGGCAACAACTGCGTTCACATT